GGACTGCACTCAGCTGATGAACTCGCCCTCTTGGGGGATTCGTCTAGCAGCAATGCAAAAGCGATATGCTGCACAATCGGCTGGCATTCACTGATTTAAGCTGCAGAGGCTTTCTCTCCATATATATGTCTAAATCCTTTTTTGGGGTTTTTGGGGACTCCTCACCTTGAAGTGCACACGTAGATTGGGCCCGCGCGCCTTGCACGACTTGGCCACGTTGTCTGACTCGCGTGAGTAACGGCCCATTTTTCAGTATCTGCAAGAAGCACAAGCAATTAGTTAAGTCTTCAGATATTTAGAAACAAAAATAAGTGGTATATCCGGTCAAGATAATAGTATTTAATATTTTCTTCTGAGCAATACTACAAACTGATTTACTACTTTATTTTGATAGGAAATATAAATTTAAGTATCGGTGCAGCTGTGACACTTGTTTTTGAACATTAGTTTTTTTTTTAGTTGATCTTAAAGCTGAATGTGTAATTTTTGAATTTTTAATTTTTGAAACTATTATTTTGACCGCCATAGTACATATAAGGCAGAGAGACAAGATTGTCCCTGAATTTCAGGCCCCTGGCCCGGCTTTTTAGTAAATTGTAGAGGGCCACCTCTTTACGCTGCGGTCGTGTGTGGTAATCTCTTAAGAATATAACCCATTTAAGGCCTAGGTTCAGATAAAAACGCGGCCGAGAAGGCGGAAAATCAAAACACGTGCAAAATGAGCGAGAAAAAAAACCTAAGCGGCTGCCTGCATGTGTGTGTGCGTGTGTGCTTGTGAGCTCCTGTAAACAACAACAATTCCGGGCGACTTTTGAATTAAAATAGTCTAAAAACTAGACTAATCTGTCCCGTTTCCAATGGAAACACTTGAATTGAACAAATTGCCGAGTTTTGGGAAACACTTTAGCACTATCCACACACACACACACAGGGCCCACGATGACAACACACGCATTTCTGGCACATTTTGCACTATATTTCACAGAAAAAAATAATTGTGTCACTGAGACACATTTGATCATGATCCATTTCATGTATTTTGTTTACATGTTGTAAGTTGGTAACTTGGATATTCGGCCCGCGGGCCCACAGTAAAAAAATATGTAAGAAAAAAATTGGTTTGAACCGCATTTTCTGGCCGGCCAATTGGCGGCGTGGATTTACCACACAGAATTTCGCTGCAAACACAATGTACACGACCGCAAACGTACCGGAGTGCCCTGGCTACAAATAAATGAGTTTAAAGACAATTTAAGTGGCAATTTCCAGTAAATAACTCGCAAGGCACATGCACTCACCGGAAACGTGGAACGAAAAAGAAAGGAAATGGCACTTTTAGTGTTGCAAATCGAATCGAATTGGGTGATGATTGGGAAAAAAGACTAAAAAATACCAAAATCCCCTTGGTGTGACCCGACTGGCGCGCAAATGCTTTGCAGCACTGTTCTTTAAGCGACTGCACCCACCACCGCTAGCGTTGCCACTGAACTAAAATTTTTAATGATACGGCAATACGACTAACTGACGGTAAATAAATAAAAATTTAAAACTAATCTTAATAAAAGATCAAAGTATACGGTTTTGCTAGCTGGCAAATCTTAAAAAAATTGGGAAAAAGAAGAATAAAAAAATATTGCTTTATGCCGAAACCCGGGATTGAACCGGGGACCTTTAGATCTTCAGTCTAACGCTCTCCCAACTGAGCTATTTCGGCACTTGATAATTTTGTATCTCGGCGACCGTCGAGTGATAAGAAAGGCAATTGGGAATACTAATCCTGATTTAAAAAAACTCAGACAAACTTAGTCTGAGCCCTAAATTTCATTCTAGTCATATCGGCTTTTTTATAAATGGAATCTTCCCATAGCCGTCGTGCATATATTATTCAACTTTTTTATGAACAATGGTGCCGCCGTTCACCTGGATCACCAATTCTCATAGATTTAAAATCAAATAAATTTAGTTAAATCATAAATATTCGTACATATTATTAATCCAAATTAAATAGTGGGAAACAGTTCCGTTTATTAAGAAGACCGTATTGACTTTACAAAGCTGATCCAAATTTGTGGTCAACGATAATTGGTTAAATTACTTTAGTAAAAAGTGGATCCGCGTCATTTAAGCCTGGGAAACTTCCAGTGTTTTGTGGTTTTGGGCTATATGGAAAATAACTAGCGCCTGGCGGCAATGCGTTGTAATTAAGCGACCCGATAAAGTCGATCCAGGTGGAAGTGGAGGCCATAAAATAAGCCGGACTTGACTGGCTTTTGGACGCATTGTCCCTTTTCTGTTAGTCATTTATTAGCGCTTTCGTTCTGGACACGACCGTAAAAGTGCCTGTTGCTAATCGGCCAGAGATCACAAAAAAGACTGCGGATCAAACCGGTCGAGGAGGAGGTACTCCAATACCACTCACCAGTCTCCAAATCCTGCGGCAAATCTGAGTTCTGCGCAGCTTGACAAACACAAAAAACCTTTATTGTTTTGTAATTTGTGCGAACTTAATACTGGAGTATTTTTAGGGTCCGTGTACCCATTCAATTTATTCATGATTCACGCCTAATTGCAGGTGTCTCGATCGCTTGCATTTTCAGATCTCTTGAGGTCAAGTGTCGGGGAACTGAAATGTCGCGTTGCACGTGCCGTAGTCCACATCGCACGTCCACATCCACGTCGCTCCCTTCCCCCAAGGATCCGGTTCCACACACGGTGGCACTTAACTGGAGCTGCCAACCGAGGGCTGCCTTGAGAATCGTGGTTCGTGGGCGTTCAAGCGGGACCAAAAGCGAAAAAAGACCAGCACTCCCAGAACAGAATGTAAACGAACCAAACCAAATCGGACCGAAAGCAAAGCGAACGACGCCCAACCACCCAACCACCCACAACACAACTACACCGAGAGAAATTCATTTTCTATGGTATGTTTTAAAATAATAAAAGGTATACTAAACTACGAAGACATCTGTTTTACCTGGGACTATAATATCTACGTAGAGCTCTAACTTGACATACCGAAAGAAATCTATGATCAATATTTTTACTATACTCTATACATAATCTATAATATCTATACAAAGATATATTAAGACATATATTTTACTTGGGTTTATGATATCTACGCAGAGTTACTTTTTTCTCTCTTTGTTTACTAGAACTTGACACTCCCACCCACTCCACCACTTGACGTCACAGCGTAGTGTTCCGTTGACCAAGACCGCGCTAAATTAGCATCGAAAAAATTACCCGAAAGACCAAGCCAAACACCTGCAAGCCAAAAAGCACAAACAACTCCCAAGAGGCATACAAAAACCACCATGGAAACTGGTTCCGAGGGGGAGCTGAGATTGAGATCTGTGGGATGGAGCCAAAAGGGGGCCAAGGGGGGCTTGGAGACCGGAGATCCGTGAGTCAGCAGCCGCCTATCATATGCACCGATTTACGGCACGCACATGAGTGTTTCCTTGGTAATGATAGGATGAGGGACGTCGTATACGAATGCCGGCAAAAAATCCCCCCAAATTGCAGTCTCGGACGTCAGGCTTCGCTGGCAACTGGATTTTGCAGCGATTTTTAATGTATTCCCCGAACCCAAGAATCCATCTCAGAACTTACGCCACTGGGAAAAAATATCTTAAGTTTTGGTCAAAAATCAGTGTTGTTTTTTTAAGCTTTATAAAGAAACATTTTATTCTGCCGTTGAATATACATTTAATTCTAACAATAAATATTGAAATATACTTAGGCAAGGAAATATCATACTTAAGCCTATTATATAGAGAAATTGGAATAATACTTTGTTTACCAGAAAATATAGACCAATAAGCTGGTTTTGGAACATGTATGGAATGTGTAAGAAGTGATGTGAGGGATGTGGGTTAACTATGGCTAACTCAGGGGTCAGGGGTCAGGGGTCATGCCGGGGATCGTCCGCATAACATAACATAACATGGCGCAGACAAGCACCACTCATCATCGGCATGCTCGGATCTCACCGGAGAAAAGAAACAATCCGAGAGGTGGACGTCAGAGATCTGGGGAACGGGCAGAACGGGGAATCCACGGCAGTCTCGATTATGCGTGGATTTTCCATCGCCGCTAACTGGTTTTCTCTGCGGTGATGGTGATTCGTTTGTTTTCGCCTTTCGAGAGAACCGCGTACACAAATCTCCGAGGCGGGATCAAGGGCAGCCTGATGATCATGATCACCGAGCATGCAGCCCAAGATGATCGGCCAAATGGCCCTGGCTGGTGTCAGAATCTATTGCCAAAGTGAACTTTTGCCAGCCAGTAGAGTTTATTCTACCATTTGTGGGTGAAATATTATGCGGTTCAACTAATAACGATGATCAATTTCGAAAGTCTAACCACAATGGAAAGACATATTAGTACAGTTTCTATGATATAGAGGTGTTGGAAATAAGTTAGTTTTTAATAATCCCTTTCATCTCTTATCACCAAGTCAAGTTGTGATACCTCCTGAACCCCGTTGGATGAGTAAAGAACTGGAGAACACCTGCGGTCAGTTCAGATGCACCGCCAATGGAGAAAAGGAGGCACGGCCGATGAAAATCGGGGATTCCGATTAATCAGTCCTTTGTTCGAACAGCAGATACAGATACTATTTTTGGGATGTGGACTGGGACTGGGATTGCGATTGGGATTGAATTCGGGATGGAAGGGTCATGTTCCGCGGTTCTTGACTAAGCACTCGCCAACAAAGAGCGCTCGCTCTGCTGCTTTTGCTCTCGGCCTGCTCGACTGCTTTTGCTGTGCTGCTTTGCTGCTTTGCTGCCTGGCTGCTTTGCTTTTGGACTTCTCGCGAGCTGAGACTTTGCATTGTTTAGCCGGCGAAGGCAGCGCCGTCGACGTCGCCGTTTGGGCGGTTTTCCTTTTTAAAAACGACGATGGACTGAGCCGTGTTTTAGTTCTGTTTGCAAAACGCAGTCACTTGGACGTGCCCCAAAATCAACAGCGAGCCCGGAGTCCAGTGTACCATATTTTTTTTCCCCACTCTGCCATCGAACTGTTTGTTCTGTGTAAGTGCCGTCTTTCGTCTTTCGAATGTCGTGTCGCGTTATCTGCTCCGCAGATGCTGATTGAAAATTAAAAACTCGGATACACAAAGATATTGGAATAAATAATAAACGCCTTGACAGTAGTACTCAATTGCCCGCCGACGCGTGCTTGTGTGCAATTAATTTGAATCCATCGAGGGGTACCATAATTCTCGAGAGTTTTTCTGTGTCAGTGCCAAAGCAATCGATCGATCGATCGATCGTCGGCCCAGTACTACAGAGCCAACCATCAGATCTCGACGGAGTGGGAAAGCGTAAGTCGGCCGGGGGATGAATCAGAACCAGTGGGTTCCACCTGGGGGAAAGACCAAGAAACCGCAGACTTATTAATCAAAAGGTGTGACAACGAGAAGTCCCAACAAAATGATTAGTAACTAAGCACTCACAATAAAATAAATACAACCAAGGAAAGGAAGTGGGGAAATACCATCCTGAGGAATACGATAACTGAGGAAGTTGGGATACAGGATGCAGTTTTGAGAACAAATGAGACGATCATTGCCTAACTAGCCGTATAAAGCTCAAAAACCATTAAAACGAATCGTTGAGACCTAATAGTAACTAGTCCCATTGAGGTTGCATTTAAAGTAATGATCTGCCAAAAATTTCGCATACCTAAAAAACGAAACAACGACCTGTAGCGAAAGCCAAGTGCTAAAAGTAAACAATCGTGATTAGGCTTCTATGCAAAAAAACGAAAAAATAAGATTTGCTTGTCATTAATAAGCTTCCATACTCGCCTGTAAAGATATTCGGGGGAATCGGGGAGATTGCGAGAGGAGAATACAACACAAACCATTAAAATTGTGTGTTTGAGCCAAATAATATTGACGCAACTCAGTGGCTGTCAACAAATAGCAAAAAACGGCACTCCCACAACCGAGAGCTAATGAAGCCCGAAGTTCGGCTATCTTATCGGCGAAGAACAGGAAGGAAACCCCCCGAAATGAAACGAAATGTGGTTTGTACAGACTCCCAGACGAGACAGTCTAATGAGTCGAAAAAATCCAACGATCGATCGATCGATCGATCGATAGAATGCGGTAGCAAGCGGGCAATTTGTTCCAACGTGTTGTATAAATTTGACATTATCGCAAAAAATTGAAAGCTCGACTTAAATAGGAATTTATTAAACAAATTCTGGCAATCATTTAATTTCGACTTCGACACGACTCGTATTTGTTCCCACATTGCAAACAGAATATCTGGTGGGCGTCTTTCGAATTGCCCCTGGCCCCCTGATTTTTACATCCGCCCCCCGTCGAGTTAGAGGTCATATTGTTGTGGGCAGTCACGAAGATCCCAACGGAATGCTAAAATCTGGAAATATATTATGGAAAAGTTAAAATTGCTAATGAACACTGGCAATTGCATAAGTGTGTCTGATTTTGATTAACATTCCCTTTTCTATAATTTATATGAGGTTTTCCAATTTTAATAATGCACGTAGAAGGCCAAGTTGCGATCTCCCGATCTCCCTTATTGGGAATCAAATGGCCCGACCAAGTTGTCAAAGTTTTAGAACCCCCCACCCCTATATGACCACGTAATATCTTTCATCACATTTTTATAATAGTTCAATCCAGATGTGATGGCGGAATGTCAGAATCTTTAGTGGAACAATTAGAAAGGTGGCTCAGGTGTCGCAGACAATTAATTTTAATTGATAACTCTCGTTGGCATCCAGTCGAGAATCACTTAATTGCTGGACCACTCTAATTATGCCGCAAGACAGTCCGGCCATCTGGCACCAGAGCCATATTAATGAGTAATTTATTGCCCAATCTATGACTAGGGCCGGTGTAATTAAGTATAATGGGCAGTCCACTAACCAGCGAATGGGTTGACTAATGCAACTAGTTATGTACTACAGCCCAAGGAAGTAGATCAATTCGCTTGATGGGTATCTCAGTAGTCGAATCTGGATGACTGGTATCTCCATTTAATCGTCGTCCGCTTGATTTGCATTTGTCGAACAAGCGGAGACGACGTAATTACCCGTAATTCGGGTTATACAGTCCGGCCGCCAGTCATTTGTTTTAGAACCCCTTTTGAGATTGAGCAAACAGAAAGTCCGAGTCGAGATACATTTTGCCCAGATACGAAGATGATGATGATTAGCGGGTTTAATAGTGTTGCACTCGGATACGCTTTTGTTGCTATGGTTTGGTCACTGGCTTGACCAGCCGGTCGATACCCGTATTAATTAATTCTAATTGCGGAACGGTTTCATCTTGGGCCCTTAACTGAAGGCCCTGGTTCCCTTTGGATCGGTTCTCGTGGGCACGATTTGCGGATCCGATCGTAAATAAAATGGCATTTGCATTTAGCATTTAGCATCTGGAATGGGGAGTACGATCGGTATGACAGTTGCCAGGTGCGATCGTCTTGACAGTCTGTAATTCATTGGGTTCGGGTTCCGAACACCTGGTCCAGAGGAATCGAAGCTGAATCATGGGCACTTAATCTTAGACCTGCCATTCCCTCGGGCATCATTTGGGGCAGTGAGCTCTACACTTCTTAAATAGGGTACTTGCCAATCCTAACTATTTCTGGGTTTGCCTTCTTCACTTTCACTCTACCCCCCAAGTGGTTTAATTTGATGAATTACTTTGTTTACCCCGACTTCTGTTGATAGATCCCCCACTCTTATGCAAGCCTGGTCCACAGACATCCGGCATTTCTTCAGGTGGCGTCGGCAGCACTTAACACCTGGCTTATAATGGCAATGCAAAGCATGTGATTCGCCTGACACTTAGCGGTTGCTAACTGACCACACTCAATGGCAAAATGGCAATTCAGCGGCTGATGGCTTCATTTCGACGAGTGTGGCGAGTGCCATGCATAAATCAAAACTCAGATTCCAAGCCAGACAGAATCAGAATCAGAATCAGAATCTAAATCAGAACCAGAAGCCAAAGGGGCGTTACCTGGTAATGACCTAACCAATTACAATGTTCACACGTACAGGTGTCAAGGTCGAACCGCTGGCTACGTCACGCAATCTTAAGTGGCCCTAGAGATCTCCCCTCCACCCCAGAAACCCACAGACCATTCAATCCATTCAATCCCACTAAGTGGCTGCTAATTGTGGGCGAAAAATCAAGAGACACCTGCCTAGCCAATAAATTAAGAATATTTATTCGCAATTTATTATGAAAATCAGCATCTGGCTTTGGATATATCACCCGTGCTTGTGCATACCATACCCCCCATTCATAATTGGTGGCCAGGTTAACCTTGACTGCGGTTGCAAGTCGGGCTGATAAACCGCATTTTAAGCCAACTTAATACAATTGTATAATGTGCATAATGTGTAATGGGCATGCTTGAGTGCAGGCCATTTGTCTGACTGTCTGTTTTTCTGTCTGTCAGATGTGCAAAGTGCTTTGCATAGACGACTTAAGAGGCTTATTAGTCTATTAGCTAATCGAATCGGGGTTAAACATGACTCTTATTCATCTATATCTATGCCCCGACCGCAGCTAGAAAGTTCCCAGAAGTACTTGGCTTTAATTGCCAAAGCCCATTCAAATTAAACGAGATTTTAATGACGCTTTAAGGCGGGTTTCTGAGGAGTTACCACCTTAAGCCGAAGTTGGCAATCGTGGTGCGCCCACACATCGGAATGGGAATCGAAATCGGATACTCGCACATTACTTAGTCATGCACATGTCCAGATCCGAGGCAGTCAGGCCTGACCGTTCTTGGTCCAGTCTTGTCACGAACATTAGCCCCTCGATGCTGTAATATCGTTATATCGGGGCTCTGACATTCTCACAACGCCTGTAATTTCGCGTTGCGTGACATGGAGAGGTGGGAGGTCAAAGTGGAGGTGTGTATGCTTGCCTCTATAGATATAACCTCATGGAGGGGGGTCTACAGTTAAAAAGGTCTCAAAAGCGGAGCACTGAACACAATGTCTTAATTCAAAAATGCAATATTAATTGGCCTGCACTTTAATTAAATGCAAATTAGCAGTTTTATGCTTTGAACAATTCCATTTTTGACTAATTTTATTGTTCGAAAGACATACATTTTTCCTACAAGTAGGTTCTAAACTTTAACGCTTCAATGAGCTTGAATACATGCACCTACACCCATCCATCATATAGGTGTGGGCCACATTCGATAGTTAGTGCACGAACTGCAAATCCGATGGCCTTGCCAAAGAAAGCGAAAGAGGCAGTTTCCCCAGGGGGGCCGGGTATTCAGCCAGTCACGTTCGGTCGAAAGGCCGGTTTTTGGTCTATTACGCCTGGCGCCTTGGCACTGAACTAGAAATAGAAAACGAGATCTACAGACCTACGGACTTACGACACGCACTGGCGGATGTGGACGTAATGGATGGCCTAGGACAGCTAGTTCCGAACAGGATCTCCATAAGAATCGACATCACTCAGTCCACACAATAGTCCAATGCCAAGGTTGCCCCTTGGTTATTCGCTAAGCCGACAACAATCACATCTAAAGCCCCGCTTCCTACTTCGAATCTGCATAAGACTTTAGACCAGACCTAGACTCACGTGTAAGCTTTAATATGTATACCCAAAACGGTGATGTTTATATTTATGGCTCGATAAATGTCAACGCGCATCACGAAACGATCAGGTTTAACAGATTTACAATGGGGCGAGCCGCTAGAGGTTTCATAATAGGCATTATTATTGAAATTGCAGCGAACATTAGGCCAAAAATGTGGAAACCAGCATGTTTAAAGTTCGGAACTGATCAGAATGGAAGACAAAGACGGAACTCTGTAAGCGTTTAGAGTTTGATCTACGAACATGAATCGATACCCAAACAATGAGCATACCATACCAGACTGGCCCGAGCTGAAGCCAAATGGTCTAAATGGCAAATAAAGAACAGCTTTGCAATAGCCGAGCGGTCAATACACCGAGCATCCGCATTCTCGAGACCTTTTGTTCCACCGCATATCCGTCGGATAGCAAATGTATCTGGCCCATGTTCTCAGCGATTCTTGGGCCTGACCTTGATGCTTTTGACAGCACAGCAATTGTAAGACACAGCCAAAATAAAATAGTATAGAAAAGAAAGACAAAGAACAGCAAAAGCAAATTAACTTGATTGATTAAAGGAATTTCGGTACGCATGTTGGCGGGGCGGGTGTTTGCCTGTCAAGAGTCAAAAGTTTTTTATGCCCGGCTCAGCCATGTGCGATCGGCCATAAAGAGCGATTATTATGAAGCTTGCTTAATGGCGGTTTGCCAAAAATTAATTTGCCGCCTGCGAGAATGGGGGAATAGCGAAAGATACAAATTGATTTAGGCACTTGGCTCGGTACAGTAGGTAAACGTTTTTGGATCAGAGACCTCAGAGGGGTTTTCGAATCCATACACATCCATGGATTCAACACTTTTCCCGTTTCCGACTGCCTTGAGTACTTAAAAGCTTGAAATATTGAATTTAAGGTCGAAACTATAGAAAAGAACAAAGCACAAATTGGTTCCTCAACTTTATATATTTTAATAATCATTTCCACTCCATTAACTGATTTATCACCGATTAGGTACTTTATTCATTTTTTTGTTAAATGTATTCGATCTTAACTTAATTGTCACAACCTGCATTGCACCGCTTGAAGATCATTATGCCCGAAAAGAATCCGGATAATGCTCGTTGGAGCTATAAATACCGCCCCTGGTATCACGTACGCGTAATTATATATTTAATATATTTCATAATAATCATGATATAACCATTCAGCAATGATTCAAATCCATTAACTGATTTATCATCGATTAGGTACTTTATTCATTTTATAGTTAAATGTATTCGATCTTAACTTAATTGTCACCACCTGCACTGCTCCGATTGGAGATCATTATGCCTGCAAAGTACCCGGATAATGCTCGTTAGAGCTTTAGATACCGCCGCTCGTATCTCGTATCACGTACGCGCAATTGCCTTCACTTTCGTTACGCTGCGAGGGAGAATTATGGACATTGTGCCAAGTTCCTTTCGAAATTCCAGTCACGACAGATCAGTCAAGTGCCACGCCGACATTGCATTATGCAGCTGACCTGTGGGCTGGTAGACTCATTAATTGAGTGCTCGCAGATTATTTGTCATTATGTCGAGCCACTTGATTATAACTTTTCGTGTGTGCTTTCATTTTCCTATACCCCTCACTCGGTACAAATGAGAAATGCGATAGCGAAGGTCCTCAATTGGAATGGGGGTAGATAGCTAGCCAATTGGGTTTGTGTACCTTCTTGTCGGTTTGAATTGCCTCTATAGCATGCACTAATCATCATTCATCTTCTTATCTCTCCCACAGTCAACGGCCCAAGATGATACCGATTCTGGAGAAAATGAGCGGGTTCTACAACTCCTATGTTCTGGCCGTGCTCACCATCGGCTACATCCTCGGCGAGCTGGGCCACTATCTGATCGGGGTGACCTCCAAGCAGACGGCCATTGAACTGGACTACGGGGATCATGCCTGCCAGCAGAACACCTCCATGTTCAATCGCCACGAGCTGCCCACCCAGTGCTCAGCCGTGGGCAACGAGAGCAGCTGCTATGCCCTCGACTTCAATGGCACCGGCTACTGCGAGTGGAACTACAATGGCCTGGGCATCGACTACCAGATCCTGGCCGGGCCCACCTTCATCCTGATCTTCACCATTGCGGGCGTCTTCATGGGCTTCGCGGCCGACAAGTACAATCGCGTCAAGATGCTGACCGTGTGCACGGTGATCTTTGGCATCGCCATGATCCTGCAGGGCACCGTCAAGGAGTACTGGCAGTTGGTCCTGCTGCGCATGGTGATGGCAGCTGGCGAGTCGGGCTGCAATCCCCTGGCCACGGGTATCATGTCCGACATCTTCCCGGAGGACAAACGAGCCCTAGTCATGGCCATCTTCAACTGGGGCATCTACGGTGGCTACGGCATAGCCTTCCCCGTGGGTCGCTACATTACCAAGCTGAACTTCTGGAACCTGGGATGGCGCGTCTGTTACCTGGGCGCCGGAGTGCTGACTGTGATCATGGCTGCGTTGACGGGAACCACCCTCCGGGAGCCGGAGCGCAAGTCCATCGGCGAAGGTGACAGGCAGACGTCCAGCGGAAAGCCGGTGAGCCTGTGGCAGGTGATCAAGAATCCCGCGATGATCATGCTGATGATAGCCGCCTCCATCCGCCATTGCGGTGGCATGACCTTCGCCTACAACGCCGATCTCTACTACAACACGTACTTCCCCGACGTGGACTTGGGATGGTGGCTCTTTGGCGTCACCATTGGCATTGGCAGCGTGGGCGTGGTCGTCGGCGGCATTGTGTCCGACAAGATTGTCGCCAAGATGGGCATTCGGTCACGCGCCTTTGTGCTGGCCGTCAGCCAGCTGATTGCCACACTGCCGGCCTTCGGGTCGGTGTACTTCGATCCGCTGTGGGCCATGATCACGCTGGGCCTGAGCTACTTCTTCGCCGAGATGTGGTTCGGCATTGTGTTCGCCATTGTGGTGGAGATTGTCCCGCTGCGCGTCCGTTCCTCGACCATTGGCGTCTTCCTGTTCGTGATGAACAACATCGGTGGCAACCTGCCCATCCTGGTGGATCCCGTGGCCAAGGTGATGGGCTACCGCGGATCGATCATGATCTTCTACGCTGGATTCTACGGCATCAGTAAGTCGAGCTTGGTTGCATCTACATACCATAGTGGCTCATGATCCCATTCGCTTTTAGGTTCCATCCTGTTCTTCATCACCTGCTTCCTGCTGGAAGGCAAGTCGAATGAGGCCGAGGAGCCGGAGTCGCCGAAGAGCCATCCGGATGCCGTGCTCAATGCCCGCCACATGCACGGACACGACAACTCCGTGTTCTCCGTGGACGAGACCCTGCCCTCCAACGGACGTCCTGCCCAGCTGCCGCAGCACCTGCAAATGTCCAGCAATGGCTACGACAAGTCCCAGATTTCGCCGCCGCGACAGAACGGCGCCGAGAGCAGTAGACTATAGTTTAGCTTAAAGTCCGGAGTCGGAGTGTTTTTTTTTTATTAATTACTATTATGAAATTTTTATCTTAGGGTGCTACCTGCACCTGCTTTCCGTTCGGCTAACTGGCTGGAAGTGCGAGGGTTAAAAGTGACATATTACCGTTCTTACATTTAGTCCAGTTAGTCGGCTGCATTGGAAGCAAGTGCCCGGGTACCTTAAACATAGGCCTAAGCAAGGGGGCGAGGTTCCCTCAAACACTGTATTTTTAACGCGACAAATGTGTACTACTTAGTTCGGCAGACGATGACAAGTGTACAACTCTAATAAAGTGCTGTTTTGTTAATATCCAACAATATATTTACCCACTGTAGAGGACCCACAATGTCGTCTATTTCCAATACCATTTTCTATTGGAATGCAAACAGTGAGTTCGTGTGCGTGGCAAAGTTGGACTATTATCATCCTCCTTTTGTAACTGTTTTCCCAGTATGACCCTGCGTGATTGCCATAAAAATACCATAAGGTTGTAAACTGCAAAAATAACCAGCTTGGAAAATAACTAGCAAATTTGCAAGGAGCTGTAGTTCTTAAAAATGGGAATATACATAGCTGCAATACGCCTTTGAAATAAGCCCAACACTATCGATAACTATCGCCACAACGCTGTGACATTACATTTAACCAAAGAAAAACCAAGGAACCATTGACAAATAAGTTTACAAGAAGGCTAGAATGTAAGTTGCAGTCATTCGTAAACTGCTGCTCGTTCGATAAGGCGGAGAAAACTAAAGTTACAGCGAGACGATAAAATTATTGGAAGAACATTATCCAAAATTCATTGCAAATAATTCGGTAAAGGAATTAGTGATCATCGCGCCGCGATACTCGCGATAGTTTATCTGCGGCGAACTCGGCGCAGCGAATTGAGGCCGTAGCCGTGTCTGTGTGAGCACGCTTTCATATATCGGAATCAGCGGTCTCAAGGCTGTGTGCGTGCGTCGTATCCGCCGGCAGTTGTTCGGCAGACAGCCATTTCAGCGTCAACTTCGGAGGTGTTCGCATCGACGTATTTCTATAACCCGTCGCCGCACAAGGCCACATTTCTGAGCATTGCAGTGGCACAGGAGCAACGGAAGGGGCAGAGCTGAGGTAAGTACAGTTGACCATTACTTTGACTATATCTTATGCTAGTATAGTAACCTACACATATAACGGGAAGTGCGCTGCAAGAAAAAAAAAACACTACAGGCCAGCAACAAAACGTCATGCGCTCGTGTGTATTTGTGCTCGTTTGCGTTTGCGTCGTATATGTGTAAGCTTTTGCGGGTGTGTTTGTGAAAGTGTGTCTGCATAACTTCCGCGGAGAACTTATCGTGAAGAATTGAATCGCCTTAAATGTAAACATTTGTCAATTCAATTACGTGCTATCTTTTTCGAATAACAGAAAGGACGTTTATCGTTGATTTTGCTTGATGAAAGGACTAGTGTTGTTATCGACTTATCGATTATATTTGTCAATAACATATTCAATTAACATTAAGGACAAATAAGTCAATAAGAGCACATTGTTGGGCTCATTCCATAGATAAATTTGTTCCCAAACTAGGATTTCACGTAAGTGCGAGCAAGAAAGACAGAGCAGCTCTAATTAACAAGCTTTTAGTATTACGTGGACCGATAGGGAATGAGCAAAGTTTAACCTTAAATCCTTACACACTATAAGAGTTTAATTATTTCTTGAAAGCGTGAAAAAAGATTTGCTCCTGTTTATGCGACGCGGCCGAATTCATGCATTTTATCAATCTCAGCTGACGGAGATGCCGGACCGGTGGAAAATGGTGTTAGCGATTATTAACCCGATTATTTTTTTCGATTCGCATGAACTAATCTTGCTAGTATTAAAGATAAAGTGTGTGCAAGCCAGTATAACATTTTTTCTACCATCAAAATAAAAGATAAAAACTAGTTTCCATTGGCACTGAATTAAAAAATAATTTGTTAAAAGTAAGGGGTATTTATATTGATCTGGCAACTCCGATAATTATATAGAGTTACCGGAGTTTAATTGTGACCATTTCACGCTTTGAGGTTGAAATTATAGTCAACTTTCGTGTGTTGCCGAATTCATGAAATGGCGTTTATGCACACACGAATCGTCTGAAATCGCGAAATGAAAGCGTGAATTCGGCATCGCATAAACACAGTATATGTCGGGTTACCAATAACCCGATTACTCCAAAAAAGTGTTAACATTGGGTAAACTCCATCACCCAATTGGCTCGAAAACTCTCGATATAAGCGGTTTTTTTAAAGCATATGTGCTCTTCACTTCCAGACGAACTATTTTGGCATGCACTGCGCTCAAAATAAATTGAATAAATAGTATTTATATTCGTGTCAGGCTGGAAAATCCTATCCCTAGTACTACATCAGATTCTTTAGTGATGAATAACCGACGATAGGCAAAGAAATACTAAAAATTCCAAAAAAATGCGAAAGACCCAACCAAGACCCTACTTTTGCCCACCTCCAGTTGCCCTTGCAAGACCTATGAAACTCTAACTTCACCCTAGTGTAAACAGGCTTTTAAAGCCTTGTTTCAGTACCTATCGGGTTACCTATCGAATGACCCAATAACCCGATTATTCCAAAAATGTTATTCACTAGATTGACTCCATAACTCGAGTACAAAGGAGGAGGACACCGTTCCACTACCATTTCAACAGTCGTGCCAAAAAAATCCTAGCCCAACTCGGGTACTACGGCAGGTTCTTTAGTAATGAACCGCCGACGATGAGTAAAGAAAATACTCTAATTTTTTCCACCTGCCTATGCTAAACCAGCAACATATTCATTTGTTGTCAAAATAATAACCATTCTAGCATTCTGGTTGAGGGCCGGTCCCCACAATAGCGAATGAAGTATCATCGATGGACAATGATTCCTTAAGAATTTTTTAAACCATGGATGACCAACATATAACTTCACTTAATCTTAAGAAATCGCGGTCCAGAGAGAATCATATGTTTTAACCCAAACCACATATGAAGACTCCATGCCTTTTTCTCGGTAATGGATAAATCGTATAGTCCTGAACACAATGTAAGTGCTAAATAGAGAAAATGAAAGTAAATACGCCGCAAGCTTATAAAAAAAAATAGCTTTCTATGGCTCATAATAAAGACTAACCTTGAAAAGATATATTGGATATCTATGAGTACGCGAGTTCTAAAGGCATTACTGTTCATAGAGGATATTTAACTCGAGGTTGTGGACACTGGTCTACAGTTACATTTTTTTTTTTTTTAGTATAACAAATTCATTTATTTAACGTTGATCAGCCATCCTAATGGTTATAAAACGTTGTGTACGAAGAGAAAGGTCCACAGTTACAGATTATAATCTGTAACAATAATTATTGTTGAATATATTAGAATGCCTATTATTTTGTCGTATGAAAATCTTGTATGTTTTTTAAGCACATCATAGGAAAGTCAACTTTGTTTTTATAGCAAAACATGCAACTTGAAAAAGCAATTACAAGAGAAAAGAAAGAGCGCCTGTTCTAGACCAGTTATGTAGTACTTTCATTAAAATTGATTCACTCTCATTTTTAAATAAAGAATGCTGGAGTTTATCTGACCACACGGACAAATGTAACCTATTCTTTGAAAAGTTGGAATTCTCATTAGCTTTTACAAAAAGTTGAAGAAACTACCTTTCGAATCGAAAATTATCTAGGTCATGGAGTAACGAGCAGAAGGTAATTGGAACTTGAGGTACACGTCACCATTTCACACGTTTATATATGATTGACCCGAGTCATCACCCGAGTCCTCTAGCCTGCATATTTAGGATTTAAAATGCAGATTCTAAAAATTCCAAAATTCACCAAAGTAGTACATATTTGCACAAATCAAACAGCAACCTGAAATGTTTAATTTATTTTATTTCTTAAACTACATAGTTTTTTGAATCTTTATCAACTTAATATATAAATTTGCAGAATCCGTTCAACTCCTCAAACCAATCCTTTCCATGTTCAAAATTAGTGAGTTTACTTGTATTCCTTATTTATATTCCACGGACATACTCCATGAGAAGCCCTTATTGCACTTCAGGTTCTGATACTAGAAGAAGAACGGTTTAAAAAGTGGATACTCACGGAGAGAATAATTTTCATAGAAACAGACATAGCTGTTGATGGTGATTTAAAATTTCTTCATTGCGCTATCTTGACCTCTGAATATCTTCAATACTTGGGTTAATACCCTATATTTAGTGTTCCAGATTGTTCATGGTTTCTGTTAACGAACTGAGTTTTTCTTTCGCAGCAACCCCTCCGAAGAAACTTCACCCTCTTTTCGTTGTGTGCGATCTTTCAACAACTTTGGCCGTCTCAATTTTGTGTGTATACTAGTTGAAAATTTCGCACAGTTTACAGTTCATTTTTTATGTATTCGGTGTTCTCAGACCTCCGAGTCAGGCAAGAAGGCGGATTTAGAAAGACAAGCATTTCGTAATACAGTGTAATTAAGCTTGATAAATATGATTGTTATTGAGAGTGATTATTGAAAAGGGATAAACCTCCGAAAGCCTACGACAGTATTAAAATTGGAAACAGCCAGTTTGAAGATATTTATGATAGTACTTTGCAAATACCCAGTGATTAGGTCGGATGTGCTCAGTAAGAATCGAGATTTCAGTTCTTTCACAACTTCCGATCGTACGATGAATTATCTATATTCGTGATCAGCTTCATCGCAAGCTGCCACGTCGATCTAGAGTTCTCGGTTTTCCAAGACTTTCAAACCAGTGCAAGGGTCGCGAGAAGTTCTTATGTCGTATCAACGGAAATTACGTATGTCTTTGTGCCGTCCGTTTGTTTGATATGTGATTTGTCTGTACTTCAAACAGATCTATGAGAAGAAGACCAGCTGTAGACACATATTTTATGGGTATTATCCACTCGGTGGTGTTGCTCCAAACTTCGTTTCAAACCGCAGTTCAGGTAGGGGATTTGTGAAATACGTACATACATACGTATATAGTACACATACATATACAGTGGCTCGCAGCTTATTTCGTGCAGCTACCTAAAAAAAGTTATAGTCGTTATTTCTGCTAAACTAAGACAGATATCAGAAAAATTTAAATGCAGTATATTAATAGGGAATATTAACATGTTTATTGAACGAAAGCGATTTTCTTAATCATAAAAACAAAAAAGTTATTTAATAAAAACCAAATGTACAGGCTTATTCCATGCCGCAGCTTATTTCGTGCAGTCGATTCTACTTAACTTAATAATTTTAATTTAAGAGCTAATATTTTGTATGTCCTCCTTTCTGGTTCAGGACAGCTTTGAGACGATTTCCCATGGAGGAAACTAACTTTTGAGTGGTTTCCACTGGAATTTTTGGCCAATCTTCCATAGGAGCAGTTTTCAGATCGTTTTTGTTCGAAATTTTCCTCTTCCTTATAGCGATGTCCAATATTTCCCATAAATTTTCGATTACAATCAAATCTGGAGACTGTGCTGGCGTTATGAAGACACGAGGGCAGTTCCAGATAAGCGAAAACTTCACATTTCCTGCTGAATGCCTCGGATCATTATCCTGGTAAAATCGAAAACGATCGCGTATGCCCAGTTTTTCAGCAGATTACAGTAAGTTCTCCTTTAAAATGATGAGGTACATGTTGGTGTCCATGATGCCATCAATGAAAATGAGGTTGTTCACGCGACAGGCTGCCATACAGGTCGAAACCATGACGTGACCCCCGCCATGTTTGACCGTAGGTTTCAGGTGCTTATTCTCCAACTCTGTATTTGGTCGCCGCCACACAAATTGTCGTCCTTCTGAACCAAAAATGTTAAATTTTGACTCGTCAGCAAAGATACCGTCATCCCAGAACGAATTTGGTAAAAGTATGTGCTCCTTTGTAAACTTTAGCCGAGCAGCAATATTTGTCTTACAAATAAATGGATTCTTTCGTGCTACTCGACCATTGAAGTTATTATCGTGAAGTACACGACGCACCGTATCAGGACTACACTTATTGCCCATTTCGTCCTCGACCTCTGCAGCTATTTTTGGAGCCGATAGCTTGGGGTTTTCCTTAATTTTCCAAACATTACGGCGCTCTTCATGATCGTTGAAAATTTTATTTGGAGCTTTTCGGCCTTCATCTGCAATGCGGTTCTCTCGGACAAACCGTTGGATGATGTACTGTACTGTACTAGGGCTTAGGGATACCATTTCTGCAATGATCCGCTGACCTTTTCCACTTTTAAAATGTTTAAGCACAAGTTCTCGCTGCTCAATAGTTGGGCGTGGTGCCATTTCGGTAACTCCCCTGTATCTCTTTATATAAGTATAACCCAGCTCGGAAACTCATAAAATATTTATTTGTTAGTATTTTAAACGATCAAATAATAATAAAATCTGCGATTTTTAGGACTAAATGTTCAATTTTTTTACTTCAAACATACTGCACGAAATAAGCTGCGGCATGGAAAAAGCCTGTACATTTTGTTTTTATTAAATTACTTTTTTGTTTTTATGATGAAGAAAATCGCTTTCGTTCAATAAACATGTTAATACTCCCTATTAACATACTGCATTTAAATTTTTCTGATATCTTTCTTAGTTTAGCAGAAATAACGACTATAACTTTTTTTAGGTTGCTGCACGAAATAAGCTGCGAGCCACTGTATGTATGTATCTTTTATTTGCGTTGCCGATCCCAACACCGTGATTTTTTTCCTCTGCAAAAGCAACAACAGCATCAAAAATATCGATCGCCCTACGACACTAATACACTGACACTTGGCCGCCGCCGCACGCACACCACTGCAGTTTGCGGCGAATTCACTTCGCCGTAGTTTAATGCGCATTTCATTCTCCTTTACGCTCTCCCCTTCACTAACGTTGTTTTTTTATGTAGGTATGTTCTTGGAAGTAGTGCCGTTGTGTGGTTGTTGGACTTATTTGATGAATATAAACTAGAGCGTGCTCGTGAGTGTGATGACAGTCATCGCAGAATCGCACTATCGATAGTCGGCCGTGCAGAAATACTGCGACTTGACGCTTGTTATTTTTAAATTGTTAATGCATTTATTTAAGTAAAGGCTAAGTAAACAATAGCTTGTATTGAAATTGAATCTCGTAGTTTTGCATGCGCTAATATTTGTATTAAGAACGATAGATAGCACACTATCGATAGTTATCGCTTTTACCCGTATTCGGATTCGGCGCCACAGTTGTTGTTGTCATTCGTTTCGACGACGCCGTGAACTTTACATGTGTGCTACCCTTCCATTGAACGGTTAATTAAGTTGGAATAAGGAACGGAATGTAAAAGAAATAAATACCGCTTTATGTACACGTAGTTTGCACTTTCCATGGACATTGGTGGCATGTTAGTTGCTGCCATTCGGTGAGTGATGGTGATTGGTGATTATGTGAGCCCAAATGTCAGATTTGGATAGTTGAACACGACCATGCAGTGCAGTGTTTAGCCTTGTAATAACCCCTAAACCCAAACCCAATCCCACAGAGGAGTCGGATACGGATCGAGCCCCCAGTGCCGCCTGCAGAATGGAGGAGAGCGAGGACGACGTGGTGGAGGTGGCCTGCGACAACGCGCTGAAGGAGCAGGTCCAGGCCAAGCTGGCGGAGATCCGTTCATTTGTGCCCTTCATCCAGCGTGTGCGAACGGACTACCAGAAGACCCTATCCGATGTACAGGGCCACCGGCTGGACTCCCTGGTCGGTCTGCTGCAGCGCGAGTAAGTCCATGGACCCAGAGCCGACCATCCGACTTGGTCATCCAACATATCCACTTCTCCGTTTCAGAAATGTATCGATGAGCACACTCAACAAGATCGAGAGGATCATCGAAAAGCTAAAGAACAGATTCGAACCGGTAAGTCGAGTTTGGGTCACTGTCACTGGCCACATCTTCATGTCCTAACTCCTTTATTTTGGATCTGCAGAGGATACCAGGGGAAGTCATCGAAATCACCGACCACTCTGAGTCCAATGCGACGACGGCCCAACAGCAGATCATGCCCTCGGGTACGGGCTCCAAGCCAAACGGCTTAGCCATCCCCTCATCAGCTACCACCACCAAGACCGCGCCCTATCCCCTGGCGGCGTCTTGCAATACGAACGGATTACCTATTCCGGATGCAGCTGCCAGCAAGGCCAAGCCAGCGATACCAAAGCTGGAGCGAAGCTCGATCGGAAGTACGTACGGTTCCTTAGCAAAGACATCTGCCCTTGGCTTTGGCTCCTTCACCACCTCCACCAACAAGATGTCAGGCTCGTTGACTTCCGCACAGAATCGAGCTCCTTTAAAGGCTCCCTTGGCCAAGCCGCTACCAGATGATAAGCAGAAACCTGTGACGGAACTACTTGCCCCATCGCAAACTACAGCTCAGGTTCAGCCTCCGGATACAAAGTCACCTGCTATTGCAGAGCAAGAACCAGCGCCAGCGCCATCCGCTTTCAATAAGAAACGCGGTTCTCTGCCCAGTACTTCGCTCAATCGCGGAGTGCTGGCTGCCATGCAGGAGGCCCGCATGGAGGAGAAGAAGCAGCGGGCCAATGCCCACCATACATCGCCATCATCAGCCAAAGAATCGTTCGCTGGAGCTTCGCCAGAGAAGGACTTTTCGCGTCGATCCTATCCAGAATCGGTTCAGTTCACCCGCCGTTTGCCAGAAAAACCGGTGCAACCAGCGAACATGTCGGATTTTGTGCGTCGATCCACACCGCCTGTGCCTGTGCCTTTGCCTTTCTCCATGCAAGAGGCACCCTCAAGGCAGTCCGAAAAGATTGGAACTGACGAGTGCATGGTTCCGGCAACATCGTTGGAGAGCGCCTCGCTGGAGGAAGCGCGGAAGAAGCTGGCCGCCTTGCGAGGAGGAGGATTAGGATTAGGATTAGGAGGAGGAGCAGGAGCAGGAGCCGTACAGGAAATGCCGCCCCTGGCCTCCAACATTAATGATCCGCGCGGCAAGAAGAACTTGAGTTTGATCTTGCCTACGCCCGTGACCAACAATATTAACAACAATAACATCAGCTTACCGCTCATGACCCCGCCTCCCATAGTTCGCACTCCTTCGCCTATTCCGCCGCCGCCGAGCATGAAGCGCGGTACTTGGGCCGCGTTTTCGAACAATCCCCTGAAGAGTGGCTTTAATGCTCCGCGTACTTCGCAGCACAACTCTGAAACTCCTGGAGATCCTCGTGATCCTCGAGCCCAGAGGGAATCAAGCATTGAAACCAGGCCCCTTAATGGCAGTGAACCCCGAGAGCCGCCACGTGATCCTCGCATCTGGCAGAACAAGCCATCCCATTCACATCATCAGCAGCATCAGCAACCGCCACAATATCCCAGTGATCCGCGTCGCGCTTCAAGCGTCTACAGCGGCTTTGAAGACTCCACCAATAGCTGGCAGTGCAACAACAATAACAACAACAACGTTAACGGCAATGGGAGTGCCTACAACAAGTCCAGCTGGGGTGGCAGTCAGAATGGGAGCGGGCCAAATGTAAGAGGGTTTAAGGGCAATCAAAATGGAAGTGAAAATGCAGGAGTCTTTAATGGCTCACAAAGCTTCAGAGGCGGATATCGTGGAGGTCACAACAGCCGGGGTTTCGGTAAGTCTGGTTCCCGCTTCGACCGAGACCATGACGTGCCCCGCACATATGGGGAGCACCGCAAGGCCAAGGCTCGCGCTGAGGCGAAGGCCAAGGCTAAGGCTGCGGAGGAGGAACGCCAGATGATAGCGGAAATTCAGCGGCAAATGGATGCCGAAGAGAAGCGCAAGTTGCTTGCCGCCGAGACACAACGAAGAAGGGAGGAGAATGAGGCCGCTGAGGCGACGTCACCGGTGATACCTGTTCCGGAACTGGACACCTCCTACCGCAACGTCACGCTCGGTCCGTTAACAAAGAAGCTAGACTTTCGAATACCGAAGAAAACCCCCCCAGCCGCAGCACTAGCAGCTCCAAGCCCAGTCAATGGGGATGGGGACAGCTTAAGGTCCTCCTCAAAATCTCCTACGAACAAGTCATGTGATGCCAAAAAAGATAAAGATACTGATAAGAATAAAGACAGGCATTTAGATAAGGCTAAGGATAAGGACAAGGCGGAAAAGGGCAAGGACAAGTCGGAAAACAGTCTGGAAAAGTCCAAGAAGCATCACAAGTCGTTTGATAATAAGACCGAGAAAAAGAAGAATAGATCCGCCAAGAAGGAAAAGAAAAGACAAGACAGGGAGCATGAGAAGAAATCGCGAGGTGGTGACAAAACTCGTGAGTTTGCGGACACGGATAGCGTGACCAGTGTGATTAGCTCTGAAAATACAGACAACCTGGAGAATGAGCCGCCCGTAAGCGAAGCAAACTCTTCTCCCATTCCAGAGCTAGCTCCCAGTACACCCGACATCCAGCCTGCCCAGCCGACAGGAAGCAAGTCTTCTGTCTCGGAGGCAGCTCCCTCAGCCGATGTTGAGACGAAGCAACAGGAGGATGATGAGGATCAGGATGTGTTCGCCATATTGGACAGAGCAAAAAAAGCGGCAGTAGAAACGGCTGCGAGGAAGCGCGCCATATCAACTTCAGAGGCAAAGACAGCGAAAGAAAATTCGGAAGATAAAGGACCTGAAAACGCCCACGAGATTAAAGAGGATGCGATTGGTGAGGAGGATAAACCGCCAAAACTGTCCAAGCTAAAAATAGTGCTTGGACCCAATGCCCACACATTGATGGTGCACCCTGATGCAGGCAGTCTGGAGAAGGAATCCAAGGTCACGGACAGCAAACCTATGGAAGATGATGATCATGACGACGAAGAGGTGCCCGGTCCGTGCCCTCAACTTCTGCGCCGCATCATGCAGCGGCGCAACTCCATGGCTCCCACGGCCAGCAAGCCGCTGGTGGACAAGACAGAAATCTTTACCCCCAGTCTACTCTACGAGGACCTGCAGGAGCAGAGGCGCAAGTCACAGAACGCACGCAGCCTGGCTAACATGTTTGAGAAGACCAACGACAACTGTAGCGTTTCCACGCAGAACATTATCTCCGGCAAGCGTCGCACCCGCGGCCTAGATGCATCCTTCAACGAGACGCAACTGAGTCGGAGCTGTTTTGGTCTGGGCCAGATTAACAGGTCGCGGACAAAGGCCACCGATGGCAGTACAAGTAGGGCCCCTGACAGCGCCAAGCATGCCGAAAATTCGATGGCTATTGATGCCAATGCTGTTGATCCTATTCCTGTTCCTGCTCCGAATCGTAAGCGCAGGCGACAAACCATTTCAAAGGAAGCTCCGATTACGCCGGTGGAGCCCAAGAAGGCACGCTTGGAAAGTGAGGAGATTAAGGCTGTCAAGGATATAGATATATCTGTCAAGCAGCCGGCAGAGGACAACGAGGAGGTCAACATTATGGATGTGGACGAAAACTCCTCCGAGCCGGCGGCCCCCGTGACCGTGATCCCACCGCCTCCAAAACCTCGCGCGAAACCCCGAAAGAAGCGCAACGAGCTGGACAAGCTAAACGAGGACATTGCGCAAATGTACTACGGCGAAGAAGTGCTGCGGGCCACCGGGCGCAGGGCCTGTACCCGGCGCTCCCGCACTCCCTCACAGACGCGGTCCAGTAGCCAGCGTTCCCGAACTCCTTCTCTCTCACGAGCCTCACCGGCCGGCGATAGCATTTCCAGCGTTTCCCTGGGCAGTCCCATTTTTATACGGAACGTGGCGCGAAGGGGCAAGCCTTTTGGTCCCGGATCCCGGTCGTCCGGCATAAATCGGACCACGTTTAAGGCCAAGACCTTGCCAAAAACCAAGCGCTGCCAAGTGAGAATACAGCGAAGTGCTGCCTTGGAAGAGCTGCTTAAGAAGCAGGGCGAGAAAGAGCAGAAACCAGCTAAGAAGCGCAAGCAGAAGGAAAAGGAAGTTCGCAACACAAATCCCGAATGGCACGCCAAGTCGAAGGCTGCCATCGAGTGTGTGGTCTGCTCGAAGTCAGTCCGCAGGAGCCCTATCTGTCACTACTTAATGAATCACGAGGAGCACTATGCCGCTCGCTTGCCACCCGGCGTGCTTGAAGATCTGCGGCTCGGACGCGGCAATCGGCCGGACTACCGGATTTCACAGCGGCACTATAGCAAGTTTCACATCACTTGTCCGTTTTGCCAGAAGCAATTGCTTCTCAACCGACTGGATCTTGGCGAACATTTGTCCGCCCACATGGGCGAGCCGCGTCACCAGTGCTCCCACTGTCACTTCCCGCAGAACCGCCTCATTAGGCTGCAGGCGCACACCGAGACCTGTGGTCCGGGTGCCAAACCGCAGAGCTATCCTGACAACTGCAGTCTGCCGATGAAAGTGCACGTGTGCCATCTATGCCAGTTTGTGCAGCAGAACAAGGGGAACATGGACCGGCATCTGATGCAGCAGCACGGCCTGTCCAAGGAGCAGCTTAAGAGTGTGGAGCGGGAGGAACTGATGCTCTGCTCCCTAAAGGACGTGCCGACAGCCGAGTCGCAAGAGGACGCCAACGCCTTCCTGCAAGGAAATGAGCCAAGCACAAGTGGAGCTGCCAAGGTGCGCAACACACACAAGGTGCCCAACACTCCCAAGGTGACCAAAAAGGGTAAACAGCTAAAGAAGATCAAGATCCGGTTTAAGAATATGGCCAAGAAATCCGTTCGTCTAGTGAAGAGAGAACGGGAAGAGCAAGAGGAACAGGAGCGAGAAAGGGAAGAGCAAGAAGAACAGGAAGAGCAGGAGCGGGTGGTGACCAAAATGGAGGTGGATCATGACATGCGGCGGCTACCGCTGCCCCCGCCAGAAAAGGAACCCGTGCTGGTGGTGAACGAGTGTCTGGCGGATGTCGAAATGGAATCGGAACTGGAGGAAGACGTCGACGAGGAACAGGCCATTCAAAACAAGAGCTTGATGGTGGATGAAAAGCCCGTTGTGCTGCCCGGCTTGGGAGCTGACCTGGTGGAAGCAGGTCCAAGTGTAATAGAACCAGAGCCAAGTGTATTAGAACCAGAGCCAAGTGTATTAGAACCAGAGCCAAGTGTGTCAAAACCAGAGTCAAGTGTATTAGAACCAGAGCCAGCAACTCTAGCGCAAGCCACTCCAACGCCAATGGACGAAGAGGATGTAGAAGTGGATGTGGAGCAGGTGACTCCACCGCGGCCACAATCTGTTCCAAATCCCGCTGCCGAGGAGGTTCAGGCAGTCACGCTGGCTGAGTTGGCCGGCGATGTGCTCGATGGCATTGGCAGCGATTGTTCCGACGTTGAGATTGAGGACGAACCGGTGCCAGTGGAAGCAAATGACGAAGACGAAGATAATGCTGATTCTGATGATGATGATAATAATGACAGCGGTAAAGCGCCCACCGATGAGTGGGTGGATCTGGAGACGGCCAAGAGAAACTCCAAGGGTTCCCCCAAGAGCATTTTCCAGAAGTTTAATCGCTTTTGCTCGCGCCTGAACAAGGCAGTCCGATCCAGTGGCAAGTCAGGGACCTCCAATGGGAGTCAGAGCAGCGAGGGCAGCCACGACATGCCCGATCCCAGCGAACTGATGCCCAGAATGCGACCGCTAGAGCCAGAGACGGTGGCGGAGAGAACGATCCCGGTGCCTGTTTCTCCTGCGTCAGCTCTTGCGGCTGCTCTTGGGGCCACTCCTGAGGCAGCTCCCGTGGCCGCTCCTGTGGCCACTCCAATCACATCTGCGCGTTTTAAGGCGCCACCCAAACGGGTAGAGAATGTGGCTTTTCGAAAGCCCTTCTCAGATGACGACCAAAAGCAGCAGGCATCCTATTTCTGCGTGCGACCGGGCTGTACTTTTCTCTTCTCCAACGAACTGGAAGGACTCGAGAATCACTTTGCGTTGGAGCATCCGTTGGTTCGCTGGAGCGGCAAATGTGCCATCTGTCCGGAGTTCAAGAAAGTGGATACACATCTCAGTATTCGCGAGGAGTTGCGTCACATGAGGGACGACCACATGGTGGTCAAATCCGCTCTGACTCCCTTACCGCCTCCGATAGAGGAGACGGCGGATGTTGTTTCGGAAACTGAGCCTGTTTTCGCTCCAAATCCCGATCCCGATCCCGCTCCCGTGCTTCCCAAGCTGCGGGTTCGTCGATTCACTGGCGATCGCCTGGTAGAGCAACTTGCGGAGCAGAATCAACCGGAAGCAGCCGTAGTTCTACCCAATGCGCCGGCACAGCCCAATGGCATGCTGAGGTGTCTGCTGGCGGCGGATCCGCGACCACCTAGCCAGCAGGTGGACTTTAATGCCGCCGGACTGGGCGAGTTCCTCTGCGCCAAGCCCAATTCGCCGCCAAAGGAGCCAGTCCCCGAAAAACAGCCCCTGATAATCAACTATCAGAGTGGGTTGGGCCTGTCTATCAGCAAGGTGTACAGTAGGGCTCAGATGACCGCCGATCCAGTGCTATCGACAGCCGTGGAGGATCCTCGCCCTGACCAATTGGCTACACCGCCAGTTCAGACCCAGAATCGTAAGCGATTTTGCTGCATGGCCACCGGTTGCAACTTCACCGCCCACAAGGTCATGTTTGTCCGCGAGCACATGAAATTCCACAGCTTTAGCTTCACTTCCACTGGCTACCTAAACTGCGCGTACTGCTCCCACGTGGCAGTCGATGTGGATGACTACCTCCGTCACGGAGTGATGATTCACGACCTGGCCCCACGCTCCGACCTGGAGTATGCATCGGGGCCACCGTCTGTAAGCCAGCAAATCCGGGACATGCTTAGTCAGCGGAACACTGCGGCTGTTGGCTGTCCCCCTGCAAACACGACGACGACCGGCCAGTCCGCCCCCGTTGCCAGCAGTAATCCAGAGGCTGGAGGGTCAGGATCGGGGGCACCCGCCGGTTCAAATGGTCTCGTTTCCGTATCTGTTGCGATCACAGATCTGCTCAGACCGACGGGATACAGCGGTGAGTAACCTAACCAGGGACCGTATAAGCCAACTATCCTTTGAGGTAAAAAATAAAAATGGCATTTAATGTTTGTTGTGTTGAGTTTATTATTATGTAAATATCGATCAAACATTTTTATTATTTGTCGATTAAAATATCGCTGAATTCCGGATAACTTATTTTGATCTGCATTATTTTGAAGTTTAAAAGTTTGAAATGGTGTCTTATTAAGTGAATTACGACGAACCAAGGAAACCCACTTTTGAATTTGTAAGATAGTTTTATTTAGCTTTATACCCATTACTCTCAGAGTAAGAGGGTATATTGTATTCGTTGGAAACAGGTAGAAGGAACCGCTTAGCGACCCTATAAAATATATATATATACTACTATGTATTGACAAGTGATCCTAGTCGATCTAGCCATATCCGTCTGTCCGTGTGAACACTGAGATCTCGATAGCTGTAAAAGCTAGAACAAGTTGGAATTGGGTAAACAGATTCTAGGGATTTCTGCGCCGCGCAACTGCGACTGCGTTGTGATGCTAGAATGAAAATTTTAACTGAAATGTATTGGTTTAATCAATACCTAACGATTGACCTACAAAAAAAAGTAGGCCACGCCCACTGTGACGCCCACAAACCCCCATAACGCTAAAATTGGTTCCAGGCAATAATTAAAATTAAAAAGAGGTGACGCAAGAAGATTTTGCGACCCATTCACACAAGTGACGGTGTTGCTAAAGCTGCTGAACGACCTACTATTTGGTCCAAAGTGGCTCTTCTTGTTCGAAAAATCCCAAAAGAGAAGTAAAGTACTTTAAAAATAGTGAGTACCAAAAAAATATAAGTGCCTTACAGCACGATTCTATCCATTTCTGTCAGGGACGCCGAAACCGGGGGTTACTGCCCTCAGAAATTATACAGGGGCGCAATATTACCACTTTGCCCCCTTTCCCCATTTCTTTCATCTAAGAAAAATTTTGTTACGGCGTCCCTGAATATATCCCAATTGATTTCCAATATTCTAAGATCGTTATTTATAATTCAGCAGTATACAACGGAAGCAATACTGAAAAGTATTTCACAAAGACACCAAAGAAGAAATATGACTAGTCTTACAAATCAAAGACATCAAGCCATCTTATTATTAAAAAGACACAAAAATGCTAAACAAAAAGGAAGGAGTGCGGAGACTCTAACAATAAATGATTATAATGATTACGGTCCCTGAAATTAACGTAACGAACTAAACAAGAGCTAATATAATGATATATATGTATCTATACATATATTGCAATTTCCAATCCCTTAACCAGAAGATAGATTGTACGCCTGCCCCCAAAAAGGCTGCATCGTCCGGCTGACGGAGGAGCAGTTTGTGAACCATCTGCGCTACCACATCCGCAGCACCCCCCAGGGCAGCGAGCAGGTGAAGTGCAAGTACTGCACCCAGCAGATGCAACCGCCGGCCCTGCGAACCCATCTTCAGCAGTCCCACGCCCGCCACACCATCTTCTGCGGCATCTGTTTGGCCACAGCGGTGAACAAGCGCCTGATGCTCTTCCATGTGCGCAAGGAGCACCAGGATGCCTACGAGCTGGTCAAACGGCAGCTGCAGTTCATCCAGCTGCGCATGAAGCCCGATGCCGTCGCCAAGGGCAGCGTGGAAATCGAGTGCTACGTTGCCGCCGTGGAGCAGCCCTTTGGCGCCTTCCAGATGCACAATTTCCAGCGCAAGCTCTTCGAGGAGCTGGAGCTACGGCGCAAGGGCACCAAGATGGACTTCCGCTCCTCTGAGGTGCGCCTCCTACCGCGCACCCCGATCTTCCCCAAGGAGCTGCGCTGTGCGGAGTGCCCCTTCATCACCACTGTGCGGACAGCCATGCAGATGCATCTCTACGGTCATAAGGAGGAGGCCATTCGCCAGGCCTACCAAACGGACGAATCGGCCATTGTGGTGGAAACAGGATCAACAGCTGCGCCACAGAATGAGGCAGCTTTAGATTCAGAGACGTCGGCGGCGGGTACTTCCGGATCGGCCGTTCCAGGTTCCCAAGCAGCACCGCAGCAGCCGGATCCACCGATTCCGGGGAAACACAAGATATTCAAGCCCCCCTATGAGTATGTGCCATCGGCGATCCGCTTTCAGTGCGGTTTCTTGCTCTGTTCCCAGCGTTTCTCCTCGGAACTGGTGTTGCGCCAGCACATGATCATGCAGCACAAGTACTCAGAGGTAATATACTGCCCGCACTGCAAGATGCGCCCGGGTCAGGTCAGCGTGGAGAAGTATTTGGCCCATCTCCTGATGCACAAGCGGCACGTCTACCAATGCGGAGCGTGCAACCGCCACAATAGCAAGCGTGTCGCCATCGAGAAGCACATCCAGGACCGTCACTACAATCAAAATGTGGACGTGGTGGTGCACCGCCACATGGACTACGACAATACGATCAACGCCCGTTGGCTAAAGACCCGTAAGTGAAGCTCACAGTCATTTCATTACAGAAAAGCATTCGCTTTCCCATTTTTTTGTCCGTATAAGTTTTTAAAATTTTAAAAAAATGTGCTCCGGTGTACGCAAAAGATTCCGATGTCAAAATGGAAACAAAATTAATCATTTCGATCACGAAACGATACCAAAAACGGCAAAAACATGAGCACGTCGAAGCGAAAAGCTAGTGTGGAATCCAGAGCAGATAAATTGATTTTTTCTATTCTGCACTCCTTTCAGCTAAACTAGCGCGCCACGCAATCATGGAGTACACGTGCAACCTGTGCCTCCAGTACTTCCCCACGGCCCTGCAGATCATGGCCCATGCGGCGTCCGTTCACAAACGGAGCCACCAGTACCACTGCCCGTACTGCGCCTATGGCGGCAACGCCGCCACGTTTATTATGGACCACATCCGGAGCGAGCATTCGGGGAAGGTGGTGCAGCCGGTGCAGATCTACCAGCGCATCGTGTGCAAGAACAAGCAGACCCTCGGCTTCTATTGCAGCCTCTGCCGGGAGTCGGCCGGCAACCTACAAAAGATCACTGCCCACTGCGAGGAAAGGCACAAGTCGCGGTTCATGTGGAAGTGTCCGCACTGCGACGTTGGGCATTACATCGAACGGCACGTGGCCATGCACATTGCCGAGGTGCATCCTCAGGAAACCGGACTGTCCGTGATCCAGTACGAAAAAGTGCTCAACGAAATGCCCGACGAGATGAGTTGGGCCTTGGGTCAGCCCATCGAAACCCAGCCTGAAGAAGAGGTGGAGGAGGAAAAGCTGCCGGAAGAGCCACCGGAACGGGCCACGTCCCAGTCCCACATCGTGACGGAAGTGGTGGACCTGCTGGCCTCCGACGACGACTCCGAGGAGCTCGGCGAAGGTCAGGATGAACCGGTAAGTGGAGTGGCATAAAGTCCAGTTTAGTGACTTCTTGGTTTCCCATTCATTACTTAATATTCCCCATAATCGAACCGTAGAAAATCGTGGAGTTCGCCTGCACACACTGCGACGAGACTTACAGCAACTTGCAGGACCTGCGCACCAAGCACTGGGCCATCGTTCATCCGGAGCAGCCGTTCTACTTCCGCGTGCAGCCGCAGCTGCTTTGCTCCGAGTGCAAGAACTTTAAGGGCAACGCCAAGGCACTGCGCGACGAGCACCTGCTCAAGGTGCACGGCATCCGGAACATCGTGGCGGCAGACATTCGCCGGCCAGCGGAGTGCGCCTACTGCGACTATCGCTATGGCGACTGGCAGGACCTGGCGCACCACATCAGCCGGATGGGACACCTGCCCAACGACCTGAAGCATGTAACGAACGAGGAACTGAACGCCCTGATGTTGCTCAGTGCCAGCGGCAGCGGCGGGGCCATAAACGAGTACTACCAGTGCGGTCTCTGCAGCGTGGTGATGCCCACGAAGGCGGCGATCGGACAGCACGGCCAGGTGCAGCACAGCAAGCCCGGCGAGCGCTTCTGCTTCCGGCAGCTGAAGGCGGATGTAATCTACCACTGCTTTTTCTGCATGTTCACCTCCACCGACGAGCTGACCACGCTGCGCCACATGATCGACCACTACAGTCGCTTCAGGGTCTGCCATTTCTGCACACTCGCCCAGGAGGGCGGCTTCGATGAGTACATCCAGCACTGCTATGACATTCACCGAGACGATGTGCATCGCTTCCGGGCCGTGCACTCGTTCAGTGATCTCAAAAAGTTCCTCATGCAGGTGCACTACCAATTCCAGAATGGCCTGATTATCACAAAGAGCAGCCTGCGCTATACACGCTACAATGACGATTCCATGATTCGAAAGCTGGACGAGGAGCTGATGGCCAAGGCACAACGCCCACCGATCCCTCGGCTGCACATTCGTCTCAAGTCGACGGGGGTCCAGGGACCGGCGGAGGTGGAGGTGACGGTGCTGGAACCAACGCAGTGTGCGCGAATCGCCAAGAGGCGAAAGACACTGAATCCGGACGAACTACTGCGGATTTTCCGCCAGGAAGAGAAGGCGCAACAGCAGCAGCGGCGGCAGGAGCAGCCGGTGGTTCTAAATAACAGAATGGTCAATATTCCACCTGGCCTTGTTCCATCACCGACTGCTGCTACTCGTTCTCCGCCGCCATCTCCTCCGATCGTGTCGCTGGTGGGGAACCAGGTCCGCATACTAAAGCGCCGCAACAGCCACGTGGTGCGTTCCGGACCCTAAAACCACAGCCCAGACTAAGACCACATCATTATTATTGTTAGATTGCAAACATTTTATATTGGCTCCCAGCCCATAATCCCTAATCGTATTGTGCTAGTTCCAAACTAATCAAGCATTAAAAAGAAACTTTCTTTTTTTTAACTTAGTTAAGACCATATTACTACATTTGTAAGCGCAAACACAGTTTTAAGATCAAAGAGTATGTTAAGAAGTAAGAGCAGGAGAGACAGATTTGGAGACTATAATAAGACGGACGTCGGCTTCAATTAATTAAACTATCGTGTTGAATAAGCTCAAATAATGGATTTATGGAATACAAAGCGTCTTTTTATTTTAACTGATTGACCGTGAGTGAAGCTTATTACCTAGCAGGCACCTAGCAGGAACCATCATGTAGGTACTGAAAGATGGGCACCGACAGACCCTGACCTTTGCTCCTCAGGACGCTGGCACATCGCACTTGGTTGTGGAACTCGCAGGGCGTGGCGAAGGTCACTTGGCGGCCGTTGCGAAGGACGCAGACGGGCCGATAGTACCGCGGACAGCTGTACTCGCAGCTCTCCTCATCCTCCTCCATGTTGGCGGCACTGGCCTGGGCCAACAGCTCCTCTGCATCCATCTCGTCTTCATCTTCACCGTCCGGATCCTCAGTACCCGTCGGCGACAGGTATTGGTATTGATAGCCACCGGAATCTCCATTGCCCTGGCTGTCCCACCAGCTCCACTCGACAACGGTGTGTTCTGTTTGTACCTGCACACCTCCAGCGGACTGCTGGATAATGGCAAAGAGAAGGGTCACGAATATAAAGCGCATGTTGCTTCCGCTCCCAATGCTCAACTGGATTCGTCGCGACCCCGCTTCGTGGAGCTTCTTAAATAGACAACAGTGCCACCAAACTATAAACCCCAAACGACGGCAGTTGTTCAAATAATTTCCGTACTTTTGGTGTTTTTTTGATGTGACGACACATATCACAATTGATAGTAAAGCTACCGAATAATATGCATATTCATAAGTGAATCAAGGCCAGCAGCAAGTTTACCTGCGACAACTGAAAGTCAGTACTTTATTTAGTCAGAAAACAGTCGGAGATTGGAAATGTAACTGTCGGAATATTTAATATGATCTCTACAAAACGAGCGAGCCCTTGGTGTCTATATCTCGTCCATGTAGCCATGCTTGTAGGCGTGACGCACCGTCTTGAAGATCTCCTCGTTGGCCACGTCACCGCCGATCTCCAGCGACAGTTGATAGCAGGCCTGGCCATGCATGTCCGTGTCGAAGAGGCGGGACAACTCGGCACAGTCCGCCTCGCTGCCCAGAATCCATGGCATGAAGTGCATGCAGACCATGACCCCGTAAAAGGCATATCGCTTGAAGTGGGCCTCGAAGCGATCAAAGCTGGGGAAGCCAAGGAAATGATAATGATATTAACTAATTGGAATTATGTAGATGAATTCTCTGCCCACCTATAATCCGCCAGGAGCTGCTCCACCCGCTCGTCGCTCAACCCATCCCGGTTGCGATGCAGCACCAGCTCAAGCATTTCAATCATGTGCTTGTGGTACTTCCCCAGCAGATCCGCGAAGATCTCCTCCCTTTCCTGCGAAGGCGTGTTCATGTACATGAAGAAGCTGAGGTCAATGGCCGTGGTGCTGAAGCGCAGCTCCTGGAAATCGATGGTCTTGATGGCATCCACCTGGCCATCGTCGCCGTAGTGGAAGAGCACATTGTTACGATTGTAGTCTCCATGCTGGAATGTGGCGAAGTAACTATCCGGCTGATCGTCGGCATAGGATGTGGTGCGAATCCTCTCCAGCAGATGCGTGGGATTGGCGAAGTACTTTTCGCGCAGACGCTCGATGGCGGCGTCTAGGCCAGCATCCGAGTCCTGGAGGAGCTGCTCCCTCTGCCGGTCGTAGAACTCGTAGAAGCGATCGAAGGCGACGCGATAGAGCACATCGAAGCCGGCCTTGCCCGAACTGGAGACAAAGGGCATGTCCAGCACACCCGCACGCAGGCGGGCATAAACCTGCGGCTGGAGTATTCGTGTGGCATAGCCCAGGGCATGAAAGGGCCCAATGAGGCCGACCATGGCCTCCAGTTGATCACGGCGGAGGATTAGCCGCGGGCCCAGCTGGTAGCCATCGCCCTTGAGATGCTTCAGTGCTAGGACAGATTCGCGACCGCTCCCGAGGCCTGGAGAACGGAATTAGCAAGGATTAGTAAGGGGTCAACGGACCATGCTGGTCCTAACACCCACCATTGACCAATCCGAACTTGGCAAAGTAGCAGCGCGGCATCCAGTTCGTCACCACCTCGCTGGCCAGGTGACTCGTCCTCAGCAGGTGCTCGTAGGCGGGCAGGATCTCGGCGTAGGCGAACACCTCGTTGGCGAACTGAATGTACGAGTTGCTCTGCTCGCGGAACTCTTCCGTGCCCTTCATGAACTTGACCAAGACGACCTCCGTCCGCTGGCGCTCGGCGACCACCAGATCCAACTCCACCGTGTACAGGGCGGACATGAATCCGTCCAGCCCGTTGGAGCACTCCACTCGGTGGCCCGCCAAAGAAACTCCCGATCCGAAGTATTTGAAGATCTCGTAAACGAGATTCCGCTCGATGTAGTCCATCTGCTGTTGCTGCGTCGACATTTTGCCCTGGCGAATGACGAATGGAGAGTTGCAGTTGCAGTTGATTGCCGCTTGATCGCTTTCACGGACGGGGCGTTGACCTGTCCTCTGTCCCCGATAAGTGTATGTATAGCCCTCCTGCTCACCCACCAGTTACTACGACATTCGTGATCTCGGCGGGACTGTTTAGGGGCCAACTGGGGAGCGGGTCTTATATAACGACGCCCCCCTGGAGGGGCAATCGGAGATGATCTTGGTGAAATTCATCAAGGTACACGTAGGCCCACTGAGATCCCCAAGAACCATTAAAGGCCTTGGATTGGATCACCTGCGGATCACAAATCTCTTGGCTTTATGAATGTCGGCACAGCTGATGTGCGTGACTGTCAAACTGTCGACAGCTGATCGACCAGGGCTACAATGTATGTATTTTTGTTGCTCAGTGTAAGTTTGCATTAAGTTAAACTAAAAATATTATAAACAAAGACTTGCTTCAATTTTGAAAATAATTAAATTATAGCCTTACAGGCTTATACTTGTAAGGCTGGGTCACCCTCGAGCTAAGTCCCTATGTTACATCAAAAGTAAGCAAATGTAATTGTACTACTAGTCGGCGTGACTCACGACCGTGATTTGCCCGTGACCGGTGGTCCATCCCTGGCTGTGATTGTCGATCCCTGGATTGCATTGCGGAAAAAAAAGATAAACAACAATTTCGTTCGACGCATTGGATTGCAATTTATTTTTTATTAGTTATTTAGCAGATACTACCCGAGCTAAGCTGCAGAATAGCAATGAGTAAGTAGAAGAGGGAGCCTCACCCGCTTGACCTTCAAAATCGCGACCATCAACTCTTAGATTTCGTTTTTATTTAAAAATGTTATGTTAAATTACAAAAAAATTTTATCACAATTAGAATTATGTTCGTATCATCCTTTTGTCGCTGTTGTGTTGTGCTTTTTAGTAGAAAAGTGTCAAGTTAAATGAATATTACAATGGATCTGGTGCGCCGGTATCCCTAGAACTTGGAGTCGTCGCTTCGGTGGGCATGTCGCCGCTTGCCTGGAAAGGATTACAGATGTACATAGATAGCCCAGAAGCTAGGATCAGGATTGGAACTTACGACCGTTGCAGTGGCGCCCGTAGAATCCCGGATGGCACTTGCAGTGCTTGTGGGAGGTGCAGGTGCCATTGCGGCACTTGCAGATGGAGCGCTGTTTGCGCCCGATCTCGCAGTGATCACCGCGTAATCCGTTGGGACACCGGCACATGTTGTTCCCGATGCACCGGCCCTCGTTCTTGCAGGGGATCACGCACTTGGCTGTGGAGGAAATCGGTAGATGTACATCAACGGGAACTGGGATCTGGGATCCCCTTGGGAAGGGCAGGAGCTTCACAGCTACTCACAGTACTCGCAGCGCAGGCCGTAGTATCCCTTGGAGCACTGGCACTTGTCCTTCTGTATGCACTTGCCGCCATTCAAGCACTTATCCTTGCAAATACCTGTGGAGCACACAGGTTATATGGTTATTTTTAAGTCATGTTTGTTATTTCTAGGATCTAATCATTTCCACCCGTTCCTTACTTATCAATAATAGCCTAATAGCCTGTATGCTTTTCTTCACAGCTGGAATGCTGAGAGGAGTCTTCTGCCGTCCCGAGCCGCGCCTGCTCTCCATGCGTTGCCTTAGCTCAGCAGCTGGAGACAGCTCATGCACCACAGAGGGAGTCAGCACAGGCGCCACGCCCCTGCGCCCACGTCCAAATGCCCTGACCGATGAGATCATACGCGTGGATCATGCCGGCGAACTGGGCGCAGATCGCATCTACGCCGGGCAAATGGCTATTCTGGGCAACGGACCGCTTGGCAAGACCATCGGACACATGTGGGAGCAGGAGAAGGAGCACCGCAAGCAGTTCGAGCAGCTCATCCAGCAGCATCGCGTGCGTCCAACGATCATGACGCCGCTCTGGAACGTGGCCGGATTTGTGCTGGGCGCTGGAACCGCTCTGATGGGCGAAAAGGCGGCCATGGCCTGCACGGTGGCCGTGGAGACGGTCATTGTGGAGCACTACAACGACCAGCTGCGCCAGATCATGGAGGCACCCAATCCCGACAAGGTATGTACATATACTCTTTGTTGCCCCAGAAGTGCATTCTAATTAACGAGGATTTCTGATTTTTCAGGAGCTGCTGGCGACAATCACCAAGTTTCGGGACGAGGAGCAGGAGCACCACGACACGGGCATCGATCACGGGGCTGAGCAGGCGCCCTTCTACCAGGCCATGACCGAGGTGATCAAGTTCGGCTGCAAGACGGCCATTGCCATTTCGAAGAAGATCTAGGCGGAGGAGTAGTTGGGCCGTCACCCACCCCCTGTATATACCAAAACTATCTGTTCCCGCACCATGTTAAGCATTAAAGATAGAGCTAGATGTCCAGTACTTACCACCTTCGCACTGGGTGCCCTGGTAGCCCTCCGGACAGGTGCAGATGGACGGCGCCGTGCAGTTGCCGCCGTTGAGGCACTGCGGGAAACAGAAGGCCGTCTCGCAGTATTGGCCCGTATAGCCCACGTTGCACTTGCAGATGTGGTGCTCGTTGCAGTAGCCGTTCTTGCCGCACTTCAAACTGCATTCTGGATCGGGAGCTTAAGTTTATTTAGTTTAGTTCAATCGTTCGCAGGTAACGAGACATTAACACTAACACACATTTAACACTTAGTCACATCTGGACTCGCAGAGAACTAAGCAGACCACATAGGAACCACAGAAAGGGGGAAAGATGGTGTGGATACAGACAGTGGATACATAGATCGATAGATAGAAAGATAGGAAAGCGGTTGGCGTGGAGTAACGGACCTCAGGGGCTATTTTATTATGCAGAACGTTATTAAAACATATTTAAAGAGGGCTCGAGTAGTGAGTGATTGGAACTTGCGGAAAACAGGATTGAAATGCAAGTATGTATACACTGCAGAACTAATTGTTTCTTAATAAGTGACCCTAAATTTTTGGAAAATCATATTTTAAAGACAATTTTAACTGTACTGTTCTGATTTATATTTTCGAAAAATGTTGGCGATTTCGATTTGTCTTTGAATACGTTTTTTAAGCAACTTGGTCAATTTTTGTCAATTATTAGTTTAGGTTTATATTTAAACCTTAATATACCTTTATATAAATAAATAAAGAAAGAGTTATATCATGACTATTTAAATATCTGACTGACGTGACTATTTAAATATCTTTTCTTAAGAACACCGATTAAATCTTTAGGCTGATAAAACAAAAAACATTTTCCAAATCGAATTTGAGCAAAACACTCGAAATTTAAAACCGGAAGAAGCCTGATAAGCTGAAATTTTTGTCACAAACGGGATATGATTCAAAGCACTTGATTATTTTTAGATGGGAATTTTAGATAATCCGGAATTAGTCAGAAATTGCAAGATCCGTTCTGAATACTTGTCTTCGATAAGAACACCCTGTTTGAGTCATTTTGTGGTTTGGAGGGAATATTGGAAAGCGCGGAAAAGCCGTGAAAAGCGACTACGTTGCGGGGAATGGGGGCTTTGGATGGGCGGGAATGGGAAATGGGATTCGGATGGGCAAATGGACGGCATGCTGGGATGGCTCGAGGAGCTGATGGGAGGAGTGTGCACAACATGTAGATGCTAAATTACAATTACTATCGACTAGATAAAAGCATTGCTTGATATTTCATATACACTACCTTGCAAAGTTGTTAGTGAAGTAGGGTTGGAAGCGTCTATATCATACACACCTCTGTGGGCGCATTCCTTTTTGAAGTTGAGGCGAATGGGTGTGCCCGAGAGCGGCTTGTTGTGGCGCGTCTGGATCTTGAGGCCGACGTTGAAGGACGCGGTGCCGGAGCTGTTGCCGGTGCAGGGCAGGAAGATGCTGAAATCTGGCTTGGGAATGGGGCTCGTTATCTCCGGGAATCTGATATCAACCGCTGTCGCCGCCGCTCCGCTCCTACTTACTCTTCTGCTCCTGCGGAATGCGACCGCTCTTGCGGATGGACAGCGTCGGCGCCTTCAGGATGCTCTCGTCCATCGTCTGCAGGCGATCGAAGTCGTAGAAGTACTTGCGGCGTCCCGACTTCCACGTAAAGTTCACGTAGTTCACCTCGGAGGGGATCACCAAAAAGTTGTACAGCGTGGTGTCGCGCAGGTCGTTGGTCACCCGGCTGTTATGGATGGCGTACAGGCGCTCCGAGTAGCCCTGCGGGAAGTAGAGCGCTGTGGAGGCGGAATGGTTCACTACATTTGCAGTAAGTACTAACGACTTTATAATACTCTCAAAATTAACCACTAAGCGCCGATTTCTCAATGTCATGTTAATTTTTGTATTCAAATCGGTGATTTGAAAAAAGTTGCATTTCTCAATATCACTTTAGTATTTAGGTAATGGTTTTATTTAGGCATTATTATAATTAAGTTTGTCGTTAGGCAATACGAAACTCTAATGGTATGTCGGTAGTAAAAATTAAGAAAATGTTTTTGTTTTTTCCAACAATTTAAGTTCACGCTAACCTTAACCGACAGATAAGAAATCTAAACTTTACGTTAACCCAAGTTCTTGATCGATTTTAAAATTGAGTTTTATAAGTGGAGGCTTTACTTAAACCACCTACCAGTCAGCATCTTGAGCTGCTGCTCGTTGATCCATAGCGAGATACCGCTCTCATCGTTGCGGTTATGCCGGTTGCCGCCGCCTCCTCCGCTTCCGCCCCCGCTGCCGCCGCCTCCTCCTCCGCCGCCGCCGCCGCCTTGGTGTTTCTTCCGCTGACCCCGGCGTGGCTGGTGGCCATGGCCCACCGTGTCCTGGTCCGCGTAGTTGTCCAGGCCGTCGCTGGCGTTGCCCTGGCTCTCCTCCGAACTGGACGAGTCCGATCTTCTGTTGTTGTTGTTGTTGTTGTTATTGTTATTCCGATTGTGGTTCTGGCGACACTCGAGCTGGCCGATGCAGAGGAGCGTGTGCACGATCAGCACCAGATAGAACCACTTGACCACGCAGCCGATGCCCTGATGCCTCATGGTTTCTCCAGCTGCCAAAGCAAACAGAAACAGAGATCGAAATTAAAAATAAACGATGGCGATGGTGCATTGCAGCCTGGTCCCCCCACCCCAGTCCCCTCCAGATATCGGATATCTGATTGCTTATTGCCGATCACTGATTGCCAATCCCACACCCATGCAGTTTGTTTATCTTTGGCCATATTTGCAGACCCTCGATCTATTTGCGCTTCGGTTTCGCTGCTTTGGACGCGACGTATCGCGGGTATTATCTATTTGCCGAAAGGGATTGGGGGTGTTGGGTTAAGTGCTGGGACTTGAGAATTCCAGGAATAGCGTTTTCAAATATCTTTAAATCATGTTGTTGGGAGTATTTCAAAGCTGCAAAGTATAGACATTGCAAATGGTTCTGATGAGTAGCGATATTCGTTCCATATTCTAAAAATATATTTAACTTTTTATGATCTCTTTTATTAGTTGTATGATCTCTCGTAAGCAATTTTGTTATAAAACCTAATAGTCAGATAAAAATAATTCAAATGCACATATAGTTTATGAGACTGTAACTTCTTCATCTTAAAGTTTTTGCCTTAATCTGATCTAAACTTGAGCCCATTTATCATTCCAGCTCCTTTTGCCTGCCCTTTTGCCTGATCGCATATAAGGCATAAACGAAGAGAGAAGATGCCAGCCACAAATTGAAGTGTCCCCATTCCGGTGCATCCCCTGCCCCCGGCGAAAACCGAAACCCCCAGCTTCGGCTCAGCCAGATTGAAGCGGTAAGGGGCAGAGGTGGAGGTGGAGGGAGAGCAGGTACAAAGTCGTTAGCACTTTGCCTGGTGTGAAGTTACCGAAGTCAACGAGGGCCAGCCCAGTCGGCCATCTCCAGCTCCAGCTTCAGCCAGCCTTGTTACACGGCAGGCTGGACAGCCAGACAGCCGGACAGCCAGAAGCCAGACGTTTAACACGGCCAACAAGTGAACGGACAAAAGAGCGGACAGTGGTTCAGTGCTGTCCCTTAGGCTTCTTTCTCCCCAACTCAGTTCGGTGAGTACTCGATTATTACAATACAATCTGATACTCTGTATTCTCAAAATTACATTTGAATCAATAACTATCGTAGATATAAGTTGCATGTAAGTTGGTAAAATGTGGTTGTAATGGGTTAAGTTATACGGCAAGCAGTGCCTGTTTTCAGTATCCATTCTGAAGACCCATTTCTTTAGGAAATACTTATTAAAGGGTTGACCTAAATAAGCACTTAAAAATTAGTTGGTTCTAAATAAGGCACATTTGAATCAATAACTATCTTAGATATAAGTGATATGTATATATGTAGTTTTAATAGGTTGAGTAATACGTCAAGCAGTGCAGATTTTCAGTATCCATTCTGAAGACCAATTCCTTATAAAAGGGTTAATCTAAATAACCTCTTAAACATTAGGGTTATAATTACGACATTGACGATAAGAGGGACCTTTTATCAATCTTAAGGTGTACAGTGTTATAACATATGTTTATGCAGATCACTAAGTAACGAGAATCATATACCGAAGTTTTAAGTTCCCGCTAGGAAACAGCTCCTTGGGCATCTCTGTGGACTGGACAAGCGATCGATCGACCGTTGTCTGCCCATCACGTATGAATGGGTTGCTGCGAGACCCGGGGACAGGGCAAACGACGATGATGGGCCAGAAAACAAGTTAAGCTGTCTTAATAAGATCAAACATGGCGATTATGAGGAATTACTTGGAGATAATGACATCGGCCAGCGACTCAAAAGACTCTCGAAGATTCTGCCCTCGGCACTGGAAGTGGAGGGATCGGAGATCGGCAGAACTCGAACACCGACTCCTCTGCAAAACGAAAACGGCCTGGGAACGTTTTCGTTAAGTGAACTAATTGCTATTTCTGGACTCCCGTGGCTCTCGGGGCTCCCACGTAAATATGTATATCCGATTCGTAATTGAATCAGTGGTCAGAGGATCGTAGGCGGAAGTACTGCTATTGGCATGGACGTGGAGCAACACAATACCACTATAGTACAAGTACACGAAACGGGAACGTCATATGGCATCGAGATTGTAACCGAAATCTGGACCGTTGTGGGGATCCCGAGATCGGGATCGGGACCGGGCCAGACCTCGATTTCCTATAAATACAGCGTTCACGCTTTGTTTTGAAATTATTTTTATTTCGTGCTATTAAATGGTCGCCGATAAGCAGGCACATGATGGCGATAGCCGGCTCCGGCCCATAGATAATCTCACTCATGGTCAATCTAAGTCCGAATCTGAATTGGAATTTCCAGCTGAGTCCCACTCGCAAGTACCGGAAAGCTTAGTCAGCATTGGATTCACTGCATACATTTTAAAGAAGTACGTAAAAATATTAGCTTAACTTAGTCTTGACTACAAAGTCAGAACCAAATTTGGAATTTCCAGCAAAGTCAGCACTAGAATTACTGCATACATTTTAGAGATGTGAGTCAAAATAATGTGTACCTAGATATTTGGAAAGTTTAGTCAGCTTTAGAATTACTCCACAAGGTTTAAAAAACGGTCATCAAAGTTTATTTATTTGGAGTTTATCATAGCTTGAAAGTGTGCTATACAATGTTAACTTAACTTAACCCCTTTTCCCTATAGGTTTGCAAACTTCAAAAGTGATATGAAACTATGTTTGTTAGCTGTGAAATCTGTTGTATCAAAGGTTAAACTCTTTTGCTAACGAATTAGGATAAAACCATAGCATAAGCCTTATGCTGAAGAATTCGCGTTGGAAACCTTTCTTGTTTCCAGTGCATTTGTCTTCGTTGGAATATCAGGTGCAGCCAGGGAAGAAGAGGTGAGGATCAGCCGTCTGAGGCTAGAGCAGCATTATTATCAAACTCCATATCAGGTCGATGGAATGAAGATGAGGTTGTTGCTGTCGTCAACGATATAATTGCTTCAACTTGAGAAAAAGGGACAGATTAACATTTTAGCGTGAAACCGGCGACAAGAGAAGAGCAGGAGAAAGAGGGAGGAAAGGAAAGAGGGAGATGGTGATGGTGATGGAGATGGTGATGGAGGAGGAGCAGTAGCAATCAAAGTAGGAACAGCAGCAACAACAATTTGTTAGCTCTTTACGATTATTGCCTTTCTCACACCTTATTACCAAGAAAATAAAGAAGCAGCATCCACAGGGCAGCGACAACAACAAATACGCAACGATGAGACGTGAAAATAAAAAATACAAAAAACACACACAAGGCACAACAAAAGGCAACAACAACGGCAACATAGCCGAGAACAAGAAGCTGCCCCTTGGAAGTGGAAGTGGACGTGGACTGGACCTGGCCTGGAGTGGATGGAATGGGAATTGGAACTGACACTGGAAAAAGGGAGTGGGGGCGGTGGCGGAGGAGAGGGACTGGAAATCGCACACTCACAGCCACTCTCGCACACCTATAAATGGTGTACTGCAAGTGCAAGCGAGAGGCAAGCCGTTCAAAAAAAATCTGATATTGATATACACCGAGAAAAACAGGGTAGTCATTTATAGCCACAGAAATCCCTAGAGATTTTAAATAACTTATTTAGTTCCCTAAAAGTATGCTGTATCGCTCAGATATTTTTAAATCCCTATATATTTTTTGTCGCTTCTATAAGTGTGTTCAGAACATATAAAAATTGATTTAAAAAAAAATCGAAATCTTAAGAAAATGTATAAAGTATTTAATAACTATAGATAACACATAAAGTACTATCTAAAGATATATAAAGGATTACCATATAAAGAGAGTACCAACAAATTGTTAACTGGACCAAAAGAACTCTTCGACTATAAGGATCTCAAATAAAAGAGCGAGCCAAAGGATGAGCGAGGGGGACAGTAGTGCTGGAAGAGGGAGAGTTACTTTCCCGGCTACCGATTTAAAAAATGTCCAGTGCTCGACAGCAACAACAACAACAACAACAACAGCCTGTGGCACTTGCAGCTCTGTTTGTTTAATGAAACAAAAGTCGCACACACACAGTGCAACACCAACACCAACACCAACGAGGCTGTGAGAAACACCAACAAAAACACCTTGGACAAATAAAGCAGACAGGACGGCAGCAGTCGACTTGCCGATACTCTGCACCGCTCTAACCTTGGCCAATTGGAGCCCTATCCGGTAAACACTTCTTCAGCATGGGAGATTTTTCATTTACACAGAAAGAAAATCTATTTCATCTCCCGTAGTTTCGGAATTGTATCTAAGCATTGTACTGTATTGTGCGTATTACAATTTCATTCATCCATACCTCAGTTTTCATTCACAACTCATCATTAAATAGTATTTAGTTTCAAATATAACTACAAACACATATCCAGCGTTTATTTTTTTTATTTGTTATACTTTTAATCTAATACTGTCTCTTTTTTCTGCGTGTAGGTCAACCTGTGACACCTGACCTAGAGGGTGCTGGGCCCTTCGTACTTCAGTAGACTGGCACAACCCATTAATCCTGGCTGCTACTCCTACCGATGATAACGATCACCAATTGAGTGGCAGAAGAGGGTGGGAGGAAGAGGAGCAAGAGGAGGAGGAGGAGTAGGAGGAGGAGCAGCAGCAGCAAGAGAAGGAGGAGGAGGAGGAGGAGGAGCAGAAGGTGGAGAGCCAGACAACAGGCGGATAACAACGCCTGTCTCCAAGTGGGCTCAAGTGCCGCAGGAGGTGGAGGAGGAACCGGAGGAGGAGCAGGAGGAGGAGGACGTGGGTCAAGAGAAGGGGCAGCGAGACACGCAGGCTGCGGAGAAGACGGACCGACGGCCGGCAGCAGAAGCTGAGGCAGCGGCAGCAAAGCCAAAAGCAGAAGCTACTTGAGAGCCACAGAATTCCGATTCCGATGAGGCGATCGTGTGTCTATATGCATGCTGAGGAGCCAGGCAACGCGCAGTCGCACAGCCACCATTCCACTCCATTACCAGTTCGCAGATCGCAGATCGCCGCTTCCAACATCCAGCATCTACCATCTACCATCCGCTCCCAGGAGCTGGCAATCAAATGGCCAACGTTGGACAATGACTTTCACGCCTTTCGAGCGCGCCAAAACGGACAAGTCAAGTACAGGCGGCCAAGAGGCATTCCAGATACCCTACCTGCCTACCCATTTTTGAGCCTTTCTTAGCCAAGTTATACATATGCCATTTACAATTGTATCTACATTTAACCTAATCGAGGTATACCATTTATGGTGTTTCTTACTAACTTTAATCCGATAGAATATTTTTTATAATGTTTTTCATAACGAAATTGAAAAGATCATTGTATCTTTAAATTGAAAAATTACTTTCGGGTATGATAACCATATTCCTTGTTTAATCCCAAAGCTCTTCCGAAATGTAGAAGCATTGGAGATACATTAGCTGAGCTCATTTGTATGAATATTCTGTTTTTATCGATCAACACACTCTTTTTTCCGTGCACTTTTCACCCAGAAGTCTCTCGTTTTCAATTTCCGTTACGATCAATCAGCACTTAAGCCATCAATCTGAAGGGGGAGGGATATTAATTGAAATTGAACGGACAATCTCCCCATTGATATGGCAAAAAAAATGCAAGTGTTTTTGCTCTTTAGGTTAAGTTAGTTCTTATCGCTTAATTAGGGTTGTGCGCAATACTCACAACAATCACAAAAAGTAAAGATCGCAGGTTAGTTTTCAATTTCAAATTTGCACACTTCACGTACTCGTTAGCCGTCGCCGAAACCAAAAAAAAAAAATAAACGGTCGGTTGACTTGGTTGACAATTCGAAAAGGGGCTTGGGGCTCCGAAAAAATATATACACTTTTATTTGCCGAATTCCTTAAGCCTTCAATTTTTCACAAATTCCGTTGCGTCGAAAGCTTTTTTGTTTGGACACAAACGCGACAAGAATTGGCTTTTGAAAATACAATAACGCGCAGAGTTTTGGTGTGCGACCGTCGCGTTGCAGCTCCTTAGCTGATCTGGACGATCCACCGAAACCGAAAACCGTGGAACGTTTCGATCGGATCTCAGTGATGCCTTCTGCTCACTCAGATCACCATTAAAGTCGCCAGAAAAGTACAGCGTTTGAACATTAATATTTTTAAATCTATTATATAGTTTTTTGCTTCTGTATAATGAAATGATTAGGAAATACATTATTATGATGGAATTGTATTTACAAATGGAATTACACTTTATTAAAAAACATAAATTTAAGTTATCTTATTTAGAATACGTTTGGAAATATCCGCATACTTGTAGATGCGTTAGTTTTAAAATTCTTGTACATTAGTAAAAAGCTTCAAAATATTGGAAATGTTCCGCATGACCATAACAAAAAAAAGATTTATTGTACAAAGAAAACGTAGCCTAGAAACGGCCAAATTGGCAGCACTACTCACTCCGCCTCTCCGAACCTTCAAACAATCTCAAGCCTCTTTATTGCGCTCTCGAACTTCTTCCAACCGCAACCCCGCTCTTAAAAAATTGTAATTAATTATTAAGGGAAAATTGTTTGTCAATTGCTTTTGATATTCTTTTTTTCGTGCTAACTCCTTACAAAAAAATGAAAAAATTGGAAAAATTGGTTGTTCGCAGCTGTACGCCCTGATTTGGCCAAACTACGATTGGAAAACTGCAAAAAAATGAGAATTTTTGCCTAAAATCTGAATGCTTATTTTCGATATAAAAAATCACTATTTTGGCTGGCATAATGCAACAAATAGTCAGAATGTATGTATTTGACCAAACTACGATTGAAAAACTGGTAAGAAGAATCGTATTTTTGACTAAAATCTGAATATCGCATTTTTGACAAAATCAAAATCCCATTTTTTCGCCCTAAAAATGCAGGTTTTTTGCTGCTACAAAGAAAATAACTTTCAGATCGAGGAATGTCATAACTCGTTGAGCTCGTAATTTAAATTCCAATCCACTAGCACTCAAACCTGGAAAATCTTTATTTTTGCCAATTTTCGCTAAAATAATGAATAAAATAAAATGAAAAAATTGGTCAAAAAATAAATTTTCCGGAAAGTGGTGGGGATTGTTAGCATAGGTTGTCAGCTGCTTAAAACAGTCAGTCTTTTAGCTGTACGCCTTGATTTGACCAAAATATGATGGAAAAACTGGAAAAAAAAATTCGTATTTTTGATTAAATCTGAATAGCGTATTTTTGACTACAATCCGCCCTAAAAATTCAGTTTTTTGGCTGCTACAAGAAAAATAAACGTCGGATCGAGGAATGCCATACCTCGCTGAGCTCGTAATTTAAATTCCAATCCACTGGCACTCAAACCTGGAAATTTTAAATTTTTCCCATTTTTTGGAAAAATAGATGATGTAACCCCTTACAAAAAATGAAAAAATTGGTCAAAAAATAAATTTCCCGGAAAGTGGTGGGGATTGTTAGCATAGGTTGTCAGCTGCTCAAAACGGTAGGTCTCTAAGCTGTACGCCTTGATTTGGCCAAACTACGACGAAAAAACTGCAAAAAAATGTGTATTTTTTGACTAAAATCCAAATCCCTATTTTCAGCCATAAAAAATCATTCTTTTGGCTTGCATAATGCAACCACTAATCCGAATGAGGAATGTTATACCTCGTTGAGCTCGTAATAAAAATTCCAATCGACTGGCATTTAAACGTAGAAATTTTTTGTTTTTCCCATTTCTCGCAAAAATAGATGATGTAACCCCTTACAAAAAACAAAAAAATTGGTCAAAAATTAAATTTCTCGGAAAGTGTTGGGGATTGTTAGCAAAGGCGTTTTGGTACTTGAAATCGAAATTTGCCCGACAAATGTAATCAAAACCCCATACAATCAAATTAAAAAGTCAATAGAAATTATAAATCTTATTTGCTCGTCGAGAAAATTGTCAAATTGCTTGATTTTTTAATATCAGACACCAGACGAACATAAACGTTTAGTAGGTGTAAGACGATCAGCTGTTTAGCTTAATCCAAGCTTGCTTAGAGATGCTGCCGTGATTTCTTCCTTTTGGCACTGCCTGAGCAAATACATAGGACTTAACTGTTACTTCGAACAAATTGTGACAAGCTCGTGACAAGATCGCGACAAGCTCGTGACGAGCTGGTGACTCGGCTATGGCTGCTCATCTCTGGTCTGCATTTGGCTTGCAACTAACTGTTCTTTCCAATGGTGATCAATTCCTATTGGTCAGTAGGGGGAGGGGAAATATGTAAAGGGCCGCCATCTTGAAAATGAACAGTTATTTAAGTTCACTTGTTAAAAATACCAGCTGCCACTTGCTAAGTTTTCTGTTTGCCTGGTGTCTGAGAGCCATAAACCCAGAATTTGGACAGAAAATATGTTACGAATCCTTTCAGTTTATTAAATTAGCGATTTATTAATTATATATATATCAGATTGAGGAATGTCATACATCGTTGAGTTCGTAATGTAAATTACAATCTATTGTCTTAAATTATTTTAATATTAATATTATTTTTAATATTTAAACTTAATATAAATTCATTGAACGCTTGTTGAAATGTTGGGGGGTTGTGTTCTGATTTAAAAAAGTAAGAGGAATATTTTAACTGCTGCGAATCCTTCGTTAATGCATATGTACGACAAAAAACAACGACGTGCTGGATATTTAAAAAGACAGCTGCCAAACGAACAACAAAAAAAGGCTTACAAATCAGGGTAAAACTAAAAAAGCGGTTAAAAGTTGGACTAGGATAAGCTTACAAATTGATTGCATCAAAATGAAACGACATCAATCGACGACAATTCGTTGGGCTATGGATAGTTGCGTACCCTGTATTGAAGAGTATTATAATTTTGATCTTCGTTTTTTAACGGCCCATTTAATATATAATCTATATATGTACTTTTTGCCTCCAATTTAATATTTCTCAATTCTTTAATTTTGTTTTTTATCATAATAAAAATGTGTTTAAAATTCTATTCGACAACTATTTTAAATCAATTTATCGAAATGTTTAATTATTTTAATAAATAATCCCACATAAATACATTTTATTTGATTTAAATTTAACAGAAACCAGACATTTGGCTTCGATAGCACGAGGACTACGCATCTGGCTTCTCGGATTCAGCGACGCCAGCCAGCACAGACTCCTTGCTGATTTCCAGAAACGAGGCCTGCGACATCTCGGTGTCGTCCTCCTCCTCCTCGATTTCCATCTCGAAAATGGTCATCTTCCGCTTGCGATCGGAGAGAACGGTGGCCACCTTCCTGCTGCCCGAGACGGCTAGCATGTCGCACAGACCGTCCAGACCCTTGAAAGTGGCGCCATCGACCACATCATGGATGCTGTGCGTCACAGTGGCGTCCTTCAGCTTGACCAGCGGCCCCATTTGGTGCTGGGTGCACTGGTTCCTCGCCGAACTCAGCGAGAATTGTATAAAGAAGCTATGCGGACGCATGCCGGAAACTGCGCTCGTGGACTGGGCGAGAATCGAGAGCGAGGACTCGTTGTAGAACTGCAGGTCGACGAAGCGCAGGTTATAGAAGTCCTCGTGAGCGGATGAGAACATTCCCGGCTCCAGTTGAATCCTGGTGCAGCGCACTAGGCCATCGCCCGCACGACTAACCTCCAGGATCATGGCCTCCTGCCAGCTGATGGTGCAGGCCAACATATCGCTCCTGGATGCCTCGTTCACGTAATAGCTGCACGTCACCAATTCCCGATCCTCAAGCCCTTCGCCGGGCTCCATGGGCGGCAGGTCGTTGCATATTACCGCCGAGGAGAGCTTGAAACTCCCGCTTATGCTCTCTGTAGGCTTATGGAACACCGCATCGATGGCGTTGAACATCTTGTCGCGCTGTTGCACAAGCGACAGATTCTTGTCGTGCGGCACAAACAGTTTGCATTCATTCAGGCACTCGTTCTCGGCCACCATCTCTTCCCACAGCTGGCTCGGGTCCCTGGTGTAGGGCTGGGTCAGATATGCATTGTCCAGATACTGACCCACTCGCTCCAGATTAAATTTGCTACGAGCGGGTGGTGGCGTGTCGGAAAGCGGCTCCACATCGTCCTCCTCATCGCTGCGGTCGTCCAACTCTGGCTCCATGGAGCACAGAAAGTCGGCCATTGCTATGTTCTCCTCCTCGGTAAGCACCAGGTCGTCGGGAATCTCCTGATGCGACAGACGAAGTATCGTGAATATCATCCATGCGTGGAAGAGCTTCATGTCGTACACCAACGTGTCAATGGTTCGCTGCAGTTCGTGGACTTTGAGGACGAAAGCTCCACAGGCCCGCATCGCCTCGTTGGCCACATCGGGAGAGATGAGGGACTAAGGGAGAGACGGTGAGATAGGGTAAACAAAATAAATGCATGGAATACCTACCTCGAAGAAGTGCGACATGCGACCGAATCCCGCGATCGTGTTGAGAAAATAGAACATGTTGACGGCCGATCCGTTCAGCTGCTTGAACACCAGGCCCTGTAGGTTGCTCAGACTCAGGTCCACCGAGTTGGCGATCTTCTTGAAGCCCTTCTCGGACAGAGTCCTAATGATGTGGGGGGATGAATGAGCATGTGGTTCGGCCAATAGGCGGGCAACTCACTCGAACAGAAACTCTTCTACCTCGAAGGTAGCGAATCCGAAGACGTGCAGCTCTAGGAAGTGAGCCGAGATCAGTCCATAGGGCTGGGAGTTGGCGTACTTCGTCAGCTTGTTGTCCATCTCCAGCTGCACGGTCTCCCAGGCCTCCGTCAAACATTGCTGCGTGTCATTTATGTAGCTGTGCGGAGAACAAGGGTTTACAATCGGTCATAACACGGCTCCCTGAGCAAAATATTTACTTTTTAGTTTCCAGAATGTGGGCACAATGCGTGGCCAGTTCCAGCATGGGTGCCATGCACTCCTGCAGCACCTGGTTGTGAAAATGCAGCATCTTAAGCTCCTGCCCGTCTCTCAACAGAGCATATATGGCATTGAAGTCTCCATTGAGCCGCACATCGTACACATCAAACTGCTCTGGATGCAGGATGTGCTGGGTGAGATCAATGCTGCCCGCCTGCAGGGCTCCGAGGAGCAGTAGGTGCACCTTGCCGCTGCGCATGATCACCACCAGGAAGCAGGGCGATCCTTTCGGAAAGGACTTTTGGTCCAGTGTTTTCAGGCAGGGATCGATGTTGGTCAGCGGCTGCAGTTTGGGCAGGAACCTTCTATGCTTGTCCTTGGCATTGCAAGTGTAGGTACCTGTAATTGTAAGAAAAGTCTTATAAGATCGATGGTCCCCGATTACAGAGTGCGATGCCACCATACCTAGGTTCTCCTGCGAGTTGATGGCTTTGCTGAAGTAGACCTTCTTGATGTCGTCCTCGTAGATGAGACCCGAGATGATCGTCTCACTTTCGGCGTCCAGGAGCGCCACCTTGCCGTTGCTGTAGCCGACGGCCAGGAGGGTTTCGTCCATTTGCCAGCTGAGGGAGCGCACCCGCACATCCTCGCCGGGAGTGGGAAAGGTGACGATCTTCTGCCAATTCAGACGCTGAATGACCACCTCGCCTGGCCAATTGGGAAAGGGAGACTCGCGTAAGTCGCTCTACTCCTTGGGTTTCCAGGTTCTCCTTCACAGATACTCACCCTTCTCCGTTCCGTAAGCAATGAGGTCCATCTTGTTGTTCCACTCCATGCGCTCCACAATGCAGGACATGTTGCGGGCGCCCAGCAGCTTCATGGAGCTCGTTTGGGACATCTTTCCACGCTAGGATTTGTCCGCGGCACATCAAAAATTGAAATCAAATAAGTTGGCTTTGTAGTTTACACTTTGCCGGTGCCTATCGAAGGTCTACCGATTATTGTCTGTTATCGATAACGTAGAGATGAGCGGAAAAGAGCTCGATATTTAAAAAAAATGGTTGCCTTACATTTTATAAGAATGGGATAAACCTTTAAGGATTTTCATTATAAAAAAAAAACATTTCAAAACGAAAATGTTAATGTTTGTATGGAGTGGGCTTTCTCAAAAGTTAACCATTTAAAAACTACTGAATTGATTGTTTAATTAAACTCTATATTGCCAGTGAGAAATACATGGTAAAGGTATTTTATTATGTAAAAAAAATTTCAAAACACAAACATCTTGGTAATGTCCGTATGTTGTGAGCTTTCCAAAGGGTGGACCATTTCAGACCTATATAAAAAACATTGAATTATTTAAATGCGTATTTAAACTCTATATTGCCAATGAGAAATACATAGTTAGGGTTACAGAAATCTAAAAGTAGAAAAGAGCTGTATTAACATTTAATATACTTTTTGCTAACTTCTAAAGAGATTTCCATAAAAGCTCAAGTATATACAATCATTCTTAGTATCAATATTTAAGGTTTTTACTAATGCTTGCGCATCAATTTTTTATTCATACAAATGCTTGGTTTCTTAGGAATCTACAAAGTGTAAGGTTTTTGTTTTTGAACAAATAGTAACAACTGAAAATGAAAAGTTAGTTTAGGCAAAGAATAAAAAAACGAAGTAAGCTGAATTAAGAGATTACAAGGAACTTAACAACTGCCTTTCGTAAAAGTAGATAAAAACCTGGCCATTAAGGAGCCAAGTGGGCAGCACAATTGGCGTCTTTTGATTTCCACAGGGAAAGATTGCCAATTGTACAATGTGCAAACTTTATAACTTTACAGTGGTAAAAAAATGGTTTACGGGATGGTCAGGATCCCTAACTTAAGCCGATTAATGCCGCTCCCCGTACATCCTTTGCTACATACACATACGGAAAAACATGTACGCCAGGACAATTGTATTTCACACTTCGCATGTTGTGCTCCTACAACTTTCAGGGGATTCGAAATTAAAGTGATTAAAAAAAAAGTCACATTTCAACTTAAAGATTAAGTATGTACTACCGCGGAACGAATCTCCGCCTGAACTTCAGTTAATCGATCGTGTTAAGCTTAAAGGCTACGCTACCAAATATGTATATATCGTATGTTTGTTAAGACGGCGTGTATGTATGCACACAAGCGGGTAAGTCCGGAACAGCCATCCGCAACTAGTCGTCGGCGTCCGGCTGGCCGTTGTCCAACTCGCTGCTCTCCTCCGGCTTGGCGTTCTCGTCCTGGTTGATGCTGCCGACGGGGCTGGCAGGTTCGGGTTCCTCCTCGTCGCCGCCATCGGCATTGCTGCCGCCGCCGGTGGTGCCCACGCTGCCGGGAGCCGTATCGTCGCCGGCGCCACTGCCTCCGGCAGAACCCAATCCCCCCGAGGAGACGAGATTGCCGGAGTTGCTGTTGCCATTGCCATTGCCGCTGCCCGTGTGCCAGGTGAGGCGCTCCTCGTAAAACTGGATGACCACCTGGGGGCAACGGATATTGGCCAGCTTGGCGGGCACCAGGTCTGCGTGGTCGCTGCCCTTCCACTTCATCAGGAACATGAGGTGGCCGGACGAGTCGGTGGCGCCCAGGATCTTCGATGGCTCCAGGCCGCGCTCGAAGCCAATCAGCTTCTTCTGCTCCTCGGTGTCGTCCTCCAGGAAGCTCTTGCGCTTGCTGCGGATGGAGTCGGGCGTGGAGGAGGTGGACAGGCGCTTCTTGGTCTCCTTCTTGTTGTTCTTCAGCGACTCCTCGAAGTTGGCTATCAGATCGGGGCAGTCGAGATTCTCCACCGGCTCCCAGGTGTTCTCGCTGCGCGGATAGCCCTTCCACTTCAGGTAGTACTCCGTGCGCCCGTTCACCGTCCGCTTGTCCTCGACGCGTTCCACTGAGAATTCGGCCATTGTTTTCCGTTTATTTGTCGTTTAAGTGCTTATTTTTGTTATTTTCTTGGCGTCCCAACACAAAATTTATTTATACGTGATTTTAGGCGGCGGAAGAAGAAGAGCTAGAGATGCACAACTCCTGGGCTCCGATCTATCGATAGCTATCGGTAGCGATGGCACAGCAGGTGCTCTTTGCAGGTTAAAAAAGATTAAACGAAAAGGTACACACAAAGAACAGAATTACTTATTGTTTTTTTTCTTATAAGATACATTTAATTACAGAAAAATATTAAAACTTATTCATTATTTGCACCATTCAAATTGGTTATCAGTGCCACCTCTAGCTGCTATCGATAACTGCCTGCTCACAATCGATAACCGGCCGCTGCGTTGCACGTGCGCTTGTTTTTAAAGAAATAAACAATTACCAAAAAAAACTTGACATAAACTAAGCAGGATGGGCGAGTTCATAGCTGAGATGCAGGAGCGCCTGCTGCCGGAGTACGAGCAGATGAAGAACTACAATGTATTCACAGCAGACCAGGTCAGGTGAGTGGTTCACCCAACTTTCCAGTCTGGGCGACCAACTTATTAGCCATTCTTGCAGAGAAATCGTCAGCCGGCGCGAACGCCTGTTCCTGAAGATCAACAGGAGCCACCAGACCATCACCGACTACCTGGAATTCATTCTGTACGAGAAGCACATGCACCTGACTATCGAGGACAAGGAGAAGAAGATGCACGTGAAGCTCACCGGTCTAAAGACCTCCATAGCCACGCGGATCATGCGCCTGTACAGGGAGGCCCTGGACAAGTTCACGCACGACAGACGGCTGTGGAGCAACTGGATCAAGTTCAGCAAGAAGTCAAATCCCGTCGAGGTGGCGGGCATCTACGAGAAGATGCTGCTGGTGGGTATTTGCCGGCCTGCTCACTTTCGCTGATGATGCACTAATTCCCTTCCCAAACTCTAGTACCACGGCGACGTGCCGGACTATTGGGTGGATGCCGCCATGTGGCTGTACGAGTACAATCGCCTCAACATCGACCGGGTCAAGGACATCCTGCTGCGCGGCCTGCAGCGACATCCCGATTCCGCGGCCCTCAACAAGTGCTTCTTTGACATTATGCTGAAAGAGGCTGCCCTGGGCAACGACGAAAGGAACCTGGCCGAGAACACGCTCTCCGAGCAGGACATCAAGCTGGAACGCGTAGAGGCAGTCTACCGCAACAGCATGGCCAACATCACCCAACTGGACTACTTCGTGAAGCTCCTCGAGAGCTGTGAGGATCACCAGGAGCTGACGGGCAAGCTGCAGCGCCTGATAATCGACGACATGCAGGAGAAGTTCCCGCGAGAGCCAGGCTTGTGGGACCTGCTGGCCCAGAGGGAGCTGCGGGGCTTTCATCTAGGCGACTTGGAGGACGAGGACCTGGACACCAGCGATGAAGAGCCGGCCAGCAAGAAATCCCGCTCTGTAAATGCCCGCTCGCTTAAGCGACGCATTCAGCTCTGCGTCACGGTGTACAAATCGGCGGTGGAGGAGCTGCAAACGCCGGAGATGTGGAATATGTATCTGGATGCCATGCTGGCCCTGAATACCGATGGAAAGTCGGAGCGTATCCTCAAACAGCAGTGTCTGGCGGATGCTCTGCAAGCGGGCCATCGCTCTCAAATGATGGGGGTGAAACACTACTCCATTCTGAGGAAAATGCTTTGCACTGCTCCGGGTGGAAGGGAGGCGGCGGTCACCATTCTCACAGAGGCCCTGAAGAACGATTCGTCCGTGGAGATGCACGAACTCCTGTTGGCCACGCACATCCAGAGCGACAGTGAGCCACTGATCTATGAGATGTTCAACAAGATCCAGAAGAGCATGGGCAGTGAGGCGTTGCCGCTGTGGCGCAGTGTCATTCTGTACTATAATACCCGGCAGGACCAATTGGGCGCACGCAGGCTGGACGAGATCTACGGCCTGGCCTGTAAGTCCGCGTGGCCGGAGTTTGCCGAGCTGCGGTCTGATTACATTCGCTACTTGTGGCGGGAGCGATCCATCGAGGAGGCACGCAAGGAATACGCCAAGCTGGCCATCCAGCCGCCCATGTCGCTGGCGCTGCACCGCCAAATGGTCCAGCTGGAGTCCAGTGCGGCAGTTCTCGTAAGTTTAAGTCTTTTTTTATTTTAAAATGTGTATTTACTTGATGAACTAATCTTTCGTAGGACCAGGGCAACCTCAAGTACTGGCGAATGTGCTACGACTTCATGGCTTGTTACTTTGGCAAGACAGAGCCGCGCGTTTGGGTGGAGTACCTGGCCTTTGAGCGAGATCATGGCGAAACGAAGAACATCGCCCTGCTCACCCAGCGGGCCATCAGCACCCTAGAGCCCCAATACGTCGCCGCCTTTGAGGCGGAGCGAGCACTCGCCTATGTGGGCGCTTCTATATAGTTGGTTGAAATATTGCCAGTTTATATCTAGGTCAACTTAGGTTAAGAAACCATTTTTTGAAAATCTGTTTTAATTATTTTCGTAGTGAATATAGAATTTTTAAGATAATTTATAAAAGCGATAGTTTCACTTTCTGGTTCTTTCCAAAGTAGGTAAGGTAAACGTCGTAGAAATTAGTTACTGGTATGCATTCATCATTTATGTGTATATCTGAGGTATCTTGTAACTTTTTGTAATGATTTTTAAAAACATATTAGTTTTAAGATACGTTTTACAAAAGAAACGGTTGCCTTATTCAAAAACATTGGTTAGAAGTCCATCATAAATAGTTAAAACTTGAATAATGTTCCAAGGCAATATCCTTTTACTTGTTGCGCCGGCGGATGTATCCATAAATCCGAGCTAATTGCGTTTTTCGAAGGTAAACATGGGCATTAACTTTGGCTGGGTGACGCCGCTGCCTCGGTCGCCATCGACTTCGCCGCCGACGTCGACGCCACCGGAGCTTTGGAAGCGAGCGACGACGACGCTTCTGGCCAGTTCACTTGCGTACTCCGTGAAAACAACACGCACCAGGAATCCACCGCACCATCATTATCCGATCTGATCTGATCTGATAAAATCCGATCGAATTAAAGCCAACGAAAGCGAAATCTCAATCGAGCGCCATGGAGTTCAACAATCGCCTGTTGCTGAAAATCATTGAGCTGGTAAGTAGTTCAATTACAAATTTGTGCATCTTTGAAGCTTGATGAGGTCAAAATAAATATGATAGGATAAATCGAGTTTGTCTATTTTTAAGCTTGTAAGTCATAAAATCGTACATGAACGATTAGTTAAATATTCGAAAGATATCGGGCATATTAAATATTATAAATGTAGTCATAAACTAGAGAATCCAGTTATTTTGAATATTACAATTTGGTTTTTAAAGTGTAAAATCTGATCAGAATGATTTTGGATTTGATATTTTCTGTATAAAATACACATAAAACACTTTTGATTTTAAAATGGTGTGTTCAAAAATTAAAAACTTCCCTAGAAATATTTATTTAGCCTAAAATCAAGCGTTTAAACATGCTTCTGAATCAAATTTTATATGTGGCAGCTGCGCTTCGAGCTGAAAATGCCAATTGTTTACAATGCTTTTATTTATTCCCTATTTTCTGTGAGCGTCTTCTTTTCAATCAATTTCCTGTTGCGTCTCTAGAGTTTCTGTTATTGTTGTCTTTCGAGGCCCATACCATACCATAATACCCGGTCTTGAAAAAGGGCAACCGGTTTTTTGGGACCACAACAAAACACTATGACTTCATTGTTTCTGTTACTTTATCCCCTTGATTTTTTTTGGGTGCGTAGTTTTTGGATTAATGCGTGCTCTCGGCTCAATGATGTCATGACCTCACCCCTCCTGAGTTTTATTTTTTTCGGGGTTCCCAGCGGCAAGATACGCCCATCTTGATGCCGACATTAGATCATTCTTTTCAAATTATCTATTTATTTCCCTATTTACAAGGTGCGTTTAACTAAAGTTAATTGGCTTGTAAATTGTTAAACAAAGTTGCATGTCGGTATTTTAAATGGTCAGGCTTAGAGGGTTATTTTTAATGTATAGCTAAGTTGTCAATTTATTATATTAGTGTCTATGATCCAGGGTTTATTTTTGGTCCAAGCGCAAATGACATCATTGCAGCGATTCTGCGAGCTTAAAAGAGAGCAGTTCTAAAGATGAGACTGGAATAAGTGTATATAACAGAAGCATATATACCCAAACAGCTTGTCAAAAAGCTTCACTTTGAACGTACGAGTATATAAAAAGATATGAGGCGATTTATCATAATTTATTATAATCTATGAGGTTGTCTGCCTGCCCTAATTAATTGAATTCGCATGATATGATTTTTTTTTAAGTTATATATTTCACAATCAGTTGTTAGCCATATGAGTATTTTTTAAGTATAATTAATATTTTATTGAATGATTTAATACTAAGTCTTCCTTATATTATGAATGGCGTATTGAGAAAGTTCTTATCTCATTTCAAAGGCATATTGACATATTTATTGCAGAGTAATCAAACGTTTGATTACTCTTAATGAGACCGGGTGATTGTATACCAGGAAAGTTTATATACAAATATCTGTTTACATTTCTGAGACATTTGCTTTATCTCAGGCTTGCTTACTTTAAGAATTGATCAGCACAGCAATCAGTCAAACTGATCTGAACCGACAAATATGTAAAGTAAGAATTTCTAACTAATAATTATGTTTTCTATTGTAAAATATTCACTTGCTTTCTTTTCTTATGAACTATACATTACTACATTTTGGAATTTCCTTCACTTCTATCTTAAAACGAGTATGTTTTTGATAACCCACTTTTACATTCCCTTGTCTGTAAGAAATGCTGTTGTTTTCCTGAGCGCACTTATCACCAAAGAATAGCAAATAAGAAGTGTTTTTAAGTACACATATGTGCTTATTATAAGATCATCATTCGGAATGTGCCTGATACTCACTGATCTTGAGCTCGGCTCCCGGGAAATGAGTCAGCTGCGACTCATTCCGATGATTGCATCACTTCAAAGCGACCCACTTGTTATATTGTAATGCGGATCATGTCCGTCCATCCCATCCGACCCAATACGATCCGATCCGAACTAAACACACCCTCTTTATGGGGCGGGCGTGCAATCACGTTCGCCGATTGCACTAACTAATCGGCGTTGGGTTAGAAAAACAAAAAGGAAAATCCACTCACAGGGGAAATTAAAATACACTTTAAGATTATGACTATCTTCCCAAAATATACGTTCCAAAATGCCAAACCGAAATACAAATATAAAATTCAATCCTTTACATTAATACCTTTATTAATCATTATAATCATAATCATCATAAATTGAAGGTTTATGAAAATTTTAGAATTTAAAATATAGTTATTTAGTTTAAAAAAAAACAGCTATCAGAATGCAGACATTTCAAAGACATTTCTAACCAAATTAAACTAAAGTAATACAGCTATTTTGTTTAAGTTAATATAATTTAATTATTATGATAATGATGATGATTTCTATTCAAATTAAACTAAAGTAATACAGCTATTTGGTTTAAGTTAATGCAATTTAATGATTATTTAAACAAAATTAAAGTTAAAATATGTTTGTTTATAATATAATCAAAGATATAATGTAAAACAAAAGAGCCACTATCAGAATGAAGACATGTCATAGGCATTAAAAGTTTAATCAAACTAAAGTAATAGAGCTACTTTCAAAATGTCTTCGGATCCGGTCCAGGGAGACCTTTTTTTTCGCAGTGCAGCTAGCCACCGCAGCTACCTCGATGACATCATCGTGCACATGGCCGAAAACGGTGGGAAATCTGGCACGCATTACGCATACGCCATGTGCGATCGTCGAAAGGTCGGTTGCATTGGGTAAACAATCGAATCGAATGGCTGTTGGCTAATTGGGCCCTGGCTGTTCCCTAATTATCTGCCATAAGCATATTTTATTTTTGGGCAAGAGTGAAATTCGATGGGCAAATAGCACTGCTCAAATATTTGTCTCCTGGGTGTGTGAGCTGGCGGTAAAGATAAAAACCCGACCCATTGTTTGCCCTCGACAATTTTCGCCACTCGCTGAATTCCGGCAACTTGCTCGTAAATATTTTTACGGGATAATAAATGCTTTAACTGCAAATCGGGCAGGCGCATTTTCTGTTTATTTTGCTGTTGGTTTTCCTATCCACCGTTTTCTCGCAAAATTTATTTAATTGATTCGTGTTTTTCCCCCCAATCCTCCCCCCAAGTCAATGGCATGTCAGGTGGCCGAATAATGAATGGCCCATACTAACTATATCAATTGAAAAAAGGAAAAGAAATAAAATTGATCTGCGGCTTTGCCGATGGTTTCTTGGGTTCATTTTTGTCAAAGTGCGAGTATTTTTAGCCTTGTTTACTTTTCTGGGGGCGTGGCCTGGGTTTTCCCCAGTCAATTGCAAAAAAAAACGAAATAAATAAAAACTTGCCAAAGTCCAGGGCACAATCAACTGGTGTGAATATAATTTGTAAATAATACCGCCCATCAGAAGTAAACAACTCTTAGTCATACGGAAGCACATATCATAGTTCAGATAATTCCAGGAAAACGTTTGTTTTATTTTCTTATTATAAGCCAAGAAAGAATTGGTGGAAATATTATGTGGCCAAAAGCTATTTAATGGTTTTTCTATGTGGTTTTATATTATTTCATCACTATTTTATGAAATTAAACAGTTTTAACACAAGGTCCTTGCTATTTCTTAAGGTTTTCTAAGGAATCTATTATATTAATTTCCTTTAAGTTTCAATGAAGCCCAGTGGGAGACTTCCTTTACGATTTCTTCTTATTGAAATACATAAAAACAATCTATAAATCAATTACTAATAGGTTGTTTCCCAATGCTAATGGGATAGAAAACCACATCTATGTTGCCGCACTCCCTGTATATAAGTCGCTAATGGGCTTCCGAATTTCGCGATTACTTGGGTGTTAGTGTCGTTTACGGGTTCGTATGCCCCATCTCCAATTTCGGGGCGTGACAATTAAACAATAAAGAAGCCGCACACATAAAATAGGTATAGATAAATGGCAAATGAATGTAACAATCGGTAATTGTTGACACAGGAGGTGCCTTACCATATAAATAGTTACCTACTTATTCCAAAAACCAAACGAACCCCATACAGTTCCATAAACAAATAATAATTTATGGGGAAGAGCTACCGCTACCGCATTAAGATACGGATATGGATGTGGCATTTGTTTACTTTGCTAACCCCCTGTAATGACCTAATGACCTATTAGTGGCCTCCTTGCATTACAATGTCAACACGGTTGACCCTGCATCCTGCGCTGGAACTTTTCCGCGAAACCAATTAGCGGGGTCGTCGCCTAATTGATTGATTGCCAACGGGTGTGTCACACTTAGCGATGGCCCACTGTCGCGTATTGGCCCTCGATGGCACGTCAATTTGCCGCCCGGCAATATCGGAATAATTTTCGTATTTGATAACCAAATGGGCGTGTGGGTGTCGAATTAATTCCGCGGCTTTTGTCGCCATTCTGCGTGGTGATATATGATATATAGAGTGCTTTGTGGCAGCTCAAGATGTGACAAGCACATTAAATGACGAATTTTATTTATGATTCTAATTAGCTACGTGTTTGTTGGGGAAACCCCTTCATAGAAAAGAAAACTTCGGTTTTTGGATCATCCCTCCGTATCGTAACTCCAGAATGCTTTCTGTATTTCTACTTATGTTAATATAATTGTTACATTATTAATATTATATTATTAATTCAATGTAATTGATTTGTTGATTTAGCAAACACGCAAAAACCTAAAACAAAGAAGGGAGTACAGAAGCATATGGCCAGAAATGAAATCCATTTAGTACTTGTCGCGGTTAAAATTATCAGGTCGCTTTTCCGACAGCTTTGTGTACCAGCCCAAAGTGATTTATTTTGTTTTTGATAGGGTCGAAAAGTATTGGGGAATGATTCACGTGTATGATTTGAAGATTTTTAGACATATGATAGATAGAGATATAATGGGTTTTTCTGTTGAAAGAGTATCAACTTTGTAGATCCTTGCTTTATCTGATAGATCTGAACTTGCTATTCCTTCTTTTTCCTCAACTTCCTGACTATCTTTCTGTTTGTCCGTTTCTGAGTCTGTGTCTGAGTTTGTCCGTAACATTTGTTGAGTACCAAGTTCTTAACTCCCAGGTCTTTATCGTCACGAGCCTGATCCTGATTGAGAGCATTTCGGAACTGACCTTTATCAGACAGGCGATGGTGGTCTATGGCACTTTAATCGGCTATCTTATCACCTGCCTTATATTGGCATCAGGTAAAGCTCTATTCCTGGAACTCCCCAATGCGTATCCTGTTCAAGTGGCGGAAAATGTGTTTTCCAGGTCATGTGGGTGGAACGGTTGTGGACAAGCGCCTCGATATCCTCTTCTCGATCGGCGGCTTTGTGCTGTTCGTGGCCTCGGGCACCATTATCCTGGACCAGTGGCTGGGACACTGCACGTCGCAGGAGGAGAAGGAAGTGCTCCTGGTCGTCGGAATCTTGAGTCTGACCAACGGGGCCATCTTCGTGGGCGATATGTTCGTTGTGTTGGGCTCTTGAAATAGTTGCTTACACTCAAATTGTTTATAATATAAAGTATTTTTTTTTATATTTTGTAAAATGAAAATGAATTTATGAAATATAGAGAGTTTATAGACAAGATACGAAGAGAAAAGGTAGTATAAAAAGCCATGGTTTATATTGTTTCTAATTAAAGTCCCTTTTTTATAGTTAAATACATAGTTATTGTGCTAATAAATTTTGGATTGTAAACTAATATAAAAATGTGTTATAAGAATGCCTTTCTAAGTATGGTGAATTTGTATTAATATATAAAAAAATCACCCATGTATATGGATAGTTCTAATATTGGCATCATCTTAAGCCCTCGCAACTAGTACTATAAGATCCATTGTTAGTTTTAGTTTTGTAAACAGCTCTAACATCCCGTAAACAGAATATTAATATATTTATTATAATAAACCCCGCTAATGATATCCCATATATCATTTTTCACCACCCTCAGGCCATCGCCATCGCCTGCATTGTTTTGTACGAGACGGTTGGTAACATGACCTCTCATCCGGTGATTGTGGCCGGAGCCATCGGTGGTTACACGGTCATCTGCGGCGTTCTGCTGATCGGTGAGTGGTGCCAAGTAGTGGATGTAAATGGTATCCTATCCTAACTTTTATTCCAAACTCTTTCAAGGTCATGTGATCAACTCGCTGGTGGAGAAGCGACTGAATGCCCTGTTCTCGCTGGCCGGCTGCCTGCTGTTCGTGGCCTCCGGAGCCCTGGTCATCGATGAGTGGCACGGCCACATAAACACCGACAGGAAGCGCCAGGCCATTGGAGCCGGATCCCTGATGATCATCAATGCGGCCGTCTTCCTTCTGGACACCCTCTGCATCTGCCGGACGTAAAGATCGTTCCGTTCGTGGGCCATATGCCCATATAAATATGTATTTTTTTTTGCAAATCGAATAACTCGTCTTGAGAAACAAACAAGAATCTACTGTATATGTTAATGTTTTTATTTTTTTTTTCTGTTTTTTGTGTACCTCTACAAGCATTCTAGATATTTATACGTGTCTTAAGCTAATCTCAGATAAACGCACGCAGATTATTTACAGGAACCCATTAAATATATATATATGCACATATACATACCAGCTATCTGTGGTTATAATATGCTAAGCTCACAACATCTGCCCATGCCTTACATCACCATAATTGCCCCGATCCCCGATCCACTCCCCTTCCGGGGATAATGGGCCGTAATTGGCCAGAGGGCTGAGTTTCTGGGAAAGAGTGGCGGGCCTGACGTCACGTGCCAACTGTTGCAAAATTCAGCGGACTCCGATTCAAATTCAAATTCCGATTCCGAACCTCCCCTCCAAAGGGTTGTCAACTCCGCCGCTTTACGCCATTCCCACAGCCATCCAGCAACTGGAGGGCATTACCTGGTACTCGTACCACGCCATCTCCATTTCTGCTTACTCACTTTCCCAGAGCAAACTCATCCCAAAGTCAGAGATCTTAGCGTTCGTACTTATAAAAATATTAACAAGATGGGACCTTCGTCCATTGAACTATCTAAAAGTTGTAATAACACATTTGCTATCTGAAAGTTATAGTATAATATTTGCCATCTGAAAGTTATATTATAACATTTTCCATCTGAAAGTTATAATATAATGCTAGCTATCAGAAAGTTTAACATTTACCATTTGGTTTTTATTTTTTCATCTTTAAAATGCTAATTGTGTGTAAATGTAATATTTTTCTTTTGAACTCATAATTATATTATATTTCAAATGTACCCCTAACCATTTGTGCTATCAAAACCTTACTGTTAAACTATACTATATTTTTTTAAGGAACCTTAGAGTGCTACCTATGTGTTGTATCTACTGCAGAGCATTCCGTATTCGTTGCTTTCGCCTGAGGGGGAACTCCTTCCTTCTGCTGCTGTGTTGTTGTCGTGTTGCAAGCTTATTACAATTAAGCAATTTATTTAATTTCTAATTATTTCTTATCATCCGCATGACAACTCTGTGAAAAATTATATATAAACCCGGCACGAGCAGACGGAAGGAGGTGCCTGTTTTGGTGGAAGAGCCGAGGAAAAATAAAGTCGAGATAGATCGCTTTTAGCCTGGTCGCAGATGCAAAGATACGGAGCTGCCGAGATACAAAGATACAGATGCACACATACGTATACCGCCAAAGACTTGAAACCGCCTTGTGATTTATATTTACTTTTGTTTATATTTTAATGTGTGTATTTTTTCCCGCTCTTTTTATGTTTTTTTTTTAACTATTTCTTATTGTACTTAACCTTTTTGCTAAGTCTTCTGAGAGGTCTTAATTTCTTTGCTGCTCTGGGAAGAATGTAACCTGCTGTTGTGGCTGATTTCTTGCGGCGATTATGGTACACGATAATTGGCCGCAATTACCATCGGAGCTGGAAGTTCAAAGTCAGGGTCATGGGGCGCTGAGATTTTGCCGTCAAGTTCAACGAGCATTTGGGGGGCAACAAAAAAAATTACATCAATATATATACCTTTTTTGGCAAGAAACCCCAGTCGAAATGGCCAACAAAAAAGAGGAGATCTTGGGCTGTGACTTTGAGATCCGTGGCAAAGTTCCGAAAGAGGCCTTTGAACTGTTCGCAGTGGCCCAGGCCAAAACGCTGGGTCTCCGGGGATTCATCACCCAGGTTTCGGAGGAGAAGTTCAAGGGTCGTCTGGAGGGCGAGGGCAAGGTGATCGATGCCTTCAAGAAGCTAATCCTGGCCGCCGCCGAATATGTGCAGGCCATCAAGGAGTTCATCATCAAGAACCTGAAGGTCATCCAGGAGTACACCTACAAGACTTTTGAAATCAAAGTGGAGCAAAAGTAAACCCTCCCAAATTTAGAAATCAGGCTATTAGACTAAATATTTGAAGAGCCATTAGGTTTTATTTAAAATTTGTAGCGATTAATAATTACAAAGTATTGTCTCCCCCCAAAAATCTTTTTTTTCGCCTTACGTTGCTACTTTATAAATGTGTTTAAAAAACATTTTAGCTTGGTGGCTTAAATAAAATAATTAATAGCTTCACAAATCGTATTGTTTTATTTCTTAGCTTACATTATGTAAAAGTTAAAAAGAATACCCATGGTCAAAGAAATAATGCTATTCTAAGGCGAAGAATACGACAAAAGAAATTGTGAAAGAGAAGAACCTGTAGGAATTTCCATGGGATCATTATGAATTGAATGATTGTGCTGATGGCTGATTTATGCAATTCCCCAAATGACCCATGAGTACTTTTTCTCCGCGACGGCTTGTTCTAGGGCCGATCGTGACCAATAAGCTAATGATGTCCGCGGAGGGGATAACCTTGTGGCCATGGCCGATCGGACATCATCAAATCGCATGCCTCGGATCCATAGTGCTTCGATGTTACCGGTTGCTTGGCATGCAAATCGGGGACATGATCGCCGCCCGATCAACACGATCGGGGTGTTCCAAACATACTCCGAACATACGGCCACGGATGGTTATTTATGCACTCGCGGATACCACTGCCGACTCACCAGCCGCCACTCCACTCAGATAATGTATCTGCAATGATATATGGTCGGCTAATCTATCATGGCCCAAGCAACGTTACAATTTTATGGGTCAATTTGCGGACGGCCATTAGCAGAATGTGTGTATGTGCAACAGGTAGCTGGCCAGGTATATCTGTGGGTCTATAAGCTACACGGAACAAATTTGACAGACCAGTGGATCCATGATAGTTATTTATATTTTCTTATAAATAATTAGAAACAATTTTCAATGCTGTGGCTTTACTGGACTAGCCAGTGCATTGGCTCCTAGATTTTAGGTGATATAGATAAATAGGATTAGTTAGTTCATTATCTTAGCAAATTTATCAAAAATTGGTATATCATATGAGCCAGATTAACAGTGTGTTTTATTTTTTAAAATCAATTTCGTATCAAAATATACCCTGTAATCAACAAAGTTTTCTCGCCGTGTATCTATGCATTTAAGGAACGGACTCGACCCATATGCGAAAAAGCCGCAAAATTGAGGGAAATTAACCTAGGCCTGCTGCGGTCGCCTAGCCTCGAATATATACGAATCCGAATTGGAATCCAAAATCCGAATCGGCCGCTTAATTGCAGCGCCGTGGCAACGCCAGCAAACCGGAAAGAATGGCGACAATGATTGCCAATCGGATTTGGCCACAATCAGTGGTGACTAAGCTTAGGCTTAAAACAGATAATTCAAAAATGGTAAGAGCATGAAAGTAAGTAAGTAAAAATAGTAAATCGGTTGTTTTAGTTTTAAAGATTTAAGAATGAAAGTAAGTCATAGCTTTTTCGAAAAAGATCAGTAGGTTTTATAACGTAAGCGCCGTTCTCTCCATGTTATCCATCTTATCTTATTTTAGAATTAAAAAAAAGTGTCTTATGTGTATAAATAAGTGTATAAATGTCAAGAAAGTTTACAAATTATTTGAATTAATTATAAAAAATTTAATAGTTTTAAAGTCTTAGCTAGAACTCAGGTTACACATGATGTTTATCCCAAGTGAGCGTTAAAAATACTCCTCATTTCAAATAATTTATTGAAAATGGTTATAATTTCAAACCTGAGCTTAGGGGCCTTAAACATTGGATATCTAAAAATCTGCGTCATTTAAATTTATAAGGTTATACTATTTCAATGTCAAGTAAATTTTAAAGTTAGCTTAAATTAACCATTAATAGTATAACGTTTTTGAAGTCTAACCCAGAACTCAAGTTATACATTACTTATTTCCCAAGTAAGGGTTGCAAAAAATACACCATTTAAATTTGTTTAAATTTAATTTATTGTTATAATTTCAAACCTGAGCTTTGGGATCTTAAAAGAAATCTGTACAAAAACTCACGTTACACATTATGTTTATCCCAAGTGACGGTTAAAAAAATGCCTTATTTCCAAATATTTACTGAAAATGGGTATAATTTCAAACCTGAGCTTGGGGACCTTAAACTTTGGATATTTTTCTCTCTAAAAATCTGAAAAAAAGCCAAAACGTCAGCGCTGATCGGCGGAGTCATCGGCGGACCGCAGTCGCAGTCGCCGTCGCAGTCGCAGTCGACGTCCGCTGCCTGGCTTCGCCGCTCGGTTTCAGTTTGCTTCGAGCGCTGGAACGTGAAAAGTCGACGACGGAGGGCCAACGTTGCGGATGAAAACTGCGATCCTATCTGGGAAGATTTTTGAAAAGCGCAGGCGTGCAACGGTTTTTGTCTCTGTTTGTTTTTGAGTGCTTTTTTTCGAGTGTAGTGGCTGAGTGAAAAGCAAAATCAAACGCATTTCGTGCATAATTTGTGGAATTTTACACATTGTAAAATCAAATTTATTGTGCAAATTGAATTTTGTTTAATTTTTTTGCTATCCGTTGCTGTGCGGCAAACAGTTGAGAAATATATAATGCAGCCACATTAAGCGGGCAAACAAAACATCCAAACAACATCCAAAGAGTCAACAGCAATTACAAGGCACTAAATCGGAGGAAGAGGTGAGCAAATATTTCCATCCATTTGTTGTTCTTTCGTTTTCGGTTGCTTGATTTTCGGTTTACTTTGTTTTGCTGATTTTTCGGCATTGCAACGAAAAATAACCTGACTTTAGTGCAGAGAAAATATTTTTTAACTATTTAAAATGGTTATCAAAATTATAACCAAAGAACCTGGGCAAAGGGTAATATTTAAAAATGGTAAAAATCAAGAAAATATAATATATAAAGCTTAATTTGATTGGAGAATTTCAAGGGCAATAGATATAAAGGTATCTCTTAGATATCATCAATATATAGCATATATAATAAAAAGGAGAGTATTATTTTGATTATTTTATTTTTTTAAATATTAATACTGTTTGAGATATGATAATAAAATAAAAACCAAAGAAGCCAAGAAGGGGGTAATATTATAAAATGGTAAAAACAATCAATAGATATAAAGATAGATAGATAGATATAAAAATATCTCTTAGATGTTTATTTATAATATGAGAATAACATTTGGGGGATTTATTTTAAGATTATATGATAATGATTATTCGAGTAAGAGCTTCAACAGAGATCTCTCGAATTGGGGCTCCCCTTTTCTCGCTGTGTGCCTATCCCAGCTGACACACACACACACACGCACACCTAGGCATAACCTCATTAAAGTTGTCGCTGTTGTTGTCCTCATTTATCCGGACTCCAAGAGCTTGAGTTTGGAGCCGCGGACTCAAAAACTCTGAGCCGTCTTCGATTATTGAGCCGTTTGACTTTTTCCCAACTTCCAGCGAACCTGTTGGCCCCACTGGCAAAACGACAAAAAACAAAAAAACCTACAGAAAATATATACAAAACTGGGGAAAAAAGTGTAAAATGAACAAAAAAAAAGCGAACAAAAATGAAAACATGCTCTGGTCAGCCTCTAGAAATATGCGAGTATCTGTCTTTGAGCTCTTTTCTCTTCTCGGGGGCTCTCGGTTTTTGTGTTTTGAATTTTTTGCGCCTTCTACATACACTGGGCACTCGGCACTCGGCACTCGTAAACCCATAAAGCCCATAAAGTGCAGTAAAAATCGCGGCTGCCGTCCATATACTTGACCTATCCGAACCGGGCTTCTAGGGGTACGATGGTCGGCAATCTGGCCGAGTTGCTTTCTGGGTTGGGCAGTTGCACTTGGCCTTAAATCGCTTTATTTTCCTAGAAAAGATCCCATTTGTTCAGACGGAACTGAGCGATTTAACTGAAGTGTATGGTGTACTTGGGTAATAATAATAAAGAAATAGTTGGTGACACAGTAACTACATTGTCTTACATTTTTATTATAGTGCACTTAATAAATATTATGTTGTAAATATGACTACCCTTGTATTGGTAACTTAAAACGTGAAGCATTTTTATATCAGCTTTCAAAGTATTTATTATATGGTATATTTTGTTTATATCATAAATATTTAACATTTTAATAATATTTTTCTTATAAACTTAATCTATATAAACAGTATGCTGTAAATATGACTACCCTTATATAAGTTACTTATTAAAGTTTAGACATTTTTAGTTATTTCAAGGTACTTAACTATTAAAAACATGATTTAGGTCACAAATACTTGTCATTTAAAGCGTAATTTCCCCCTTTTAAAACCCAATTTTTTCTCCGTGCACTCTGCTTTAGGTTGAGAGCAATTTTCGTTTGGATTTGGCCCCTCCTCAAGCCCCCTTAAAAATTATTATTACTCCGCCGCATCATTATCGCCGCGCTTGAAATCTAATTTCTGCCCCGGCCACAATTTGCCACACGATTTTGTTTTGTTTTATTTCATTTTCTTTGTTGCGGCTCCGAAAGGAATTGAAAGTGCGCGCGCATGCGCAATTAAGGCCAAGTGCGCGCAAAAAACAAAATTCACAAACAACAAACAGAAAAAAAGTCATCTGGCAGGAAAATACACAAAAAAAAGGCCATAAAAAGAGGCAACTGAAGGCTAAAGAGCAGAAATTCACTTTTTAGTTTAAACAGGAAGGGGGCGGCGATGAGATGCGATGGTAGAAATAAAAAATGAAAAATATCTGGCAGAACCCAGAAGAGAGTTCCGAAAGCCAGTTGGTGAAAATCCAGCGCATACAGGTTATAAAGATTTATGATCACTTTTGATACCGGCCTTCCAATGTATGTAGGTGAAGCTCAAGTGAAAGAAGATAACGTGGCTTAGAGCCGCCGGATGAGTTGGTCCGAGTGACTGGGCCAAAACCAAAGCCATATAGCTGTGCCCACTTAGATCCAGGTCATCATTGCCGGCGAGTGCCATTTAGAAAACAGCGATTTCTTCGTTTAACTCCGATGAAATCATGATCCATAGATTGCAGATTTCATGCAATTAACTAATCAATTAGTGAAGGATCCCTGTGTCTTTAGTTTTTATAAGGAAATAAAAAATAAATACAAATGCCAAATACTTCAAAATCTCTTAGGTATTTTAAATGTTAATAGGAGTTGATTGAGTTGACGATTGATTACGGAACAACTAAAAATGTTTCATTCAACACCTTAAGCCATTGACAATGATTGATGGGTTAAATTGTTTGGGGAATGGGGTCAATCTTTTGGTCCAACAAGAAATTACTTTCATTAATTTATGATTGCTTTTGCGACCTTTATAGTTAAGGGTTTTAATGTGCAGATACATTGTATGGGTAATTTGTATATCATAAAGGATGTGAGATAATAAACGTGTATGGAACCCTTACTAACGAATTATTTCACGCCCTCGCTATAAAAGTGTCTGTTGCTCATAAAGGTTACTCTCCTGATCTTTTACTACCCGTACAATCTGCTTTTTGCACTCGCCTATGAGTACACAGAGTTATCTCTCGTGATTCATTTGATTGAATCGTGTTGCAATCATTATGTATTCAAACAAATAGTTTCCACTTTGTATGCAAACGTTGGCCAATAGATCACATTAACGATTTCTTAATTGGCAGTTAACGCGAAATGGTTATAAAAAGAACCAGTACAAGGGTATTTTATACTCAATCAGGACTTGTTTTACCCGACAATTAAGTAATTTGTTGTTTTCTTATTGCCCACATAGTTATTCGTACCATTTTAATGATTTGATTGTGTGCCTAACTAAGGTATTATTTTAATTAAAGTGACATTTAATAAGGCTTTATAATCTTACTAACCTTTACTTAATTACCAAGCTAATAAAAGTGATCTAGCTTATGGCCCATAAATGTTAGTTGCGTGAATTAAATATTTTAAGCACTCAAGAACACCCTTCCTTTCCATTCTCCCAAAAACAGTTCCTCATTTATTAACTGCATCATAAAATATTTAAATTTTGCCATAATAATGCATTATCTTAAAACTTTTACCCACTGCACATTCATTAAGTTGTTTGTTCACCTTCTTATCACATTGCATTTAATTATCCACTTCACTTACAGATTTTCTCACCATTCATTTGCTATTCATTCGTGTTTTTGCATTTCCCCCCTCTAAAAAAATGTATAATTTTTTTTGCCAGTAATCTTGAAAGCGGGAAAAAATAAACAATTACCAAGGCAGATAACTCATTAATAACTTGCATGGCAAAAGGCATTTTTAATTTGCTGTTGAGCATTTTTTGTTACGGTTAATGTTGGAATAACTATTCATGAGACTTAAACGGGTTACCGCTCGTTGCTTTCTACATAACAGATGAAAATATAACAAATACACCCACAGCGAGTCCAAATCCAGATCCAAGACCATCCATCCATCCGTCTAACCACCCATAACTTGGGGTCTTTCAAGTGCTTCAATGGCCCGTGAATGCGGGCTGCCAAAAATCGAACAAAAATCGGGCAATAACAAAACGTTACTCGAAGAATGGTTATTTGGAGCTCTTTCTGTATATGGTAAAGTGCCAGCTTTGTAGGCCCAATTGACCTTAAATTATTGCCCTGGCGTTGGCGTAATGTTTCAAAATTCTCGAATATATTTAGGCAAATATTTTGGGCCCAACTTATTTGGCTTTTAACCACATTTGGCCAGTCACCGAAACATGCAAATCGGGTTTTTATGATGATTTTGCCTTTTTGTATTTTTTGTTTTCGGTCAATTAACCTGTGATATCCGGCCAGAAAGCAACCCGGGCAATTACAAATGCAGAGCAGCCCGCTCCGAGTGGTCGTGCCACATGCCACATGCCACATGCCGCATGCGAGCTTTCACTGATCCAGCCAAGCACAACTGGGCAGTTCGGACTCTCGTCGGACTCTGATCCTAGCTCCAAGATCTCACAGTATAAGCCCAAAAGAAAAACGTGGGCGAACTTTCCCACGTCCAAAGATTGCAGAAGAACTGCACAGAGCATAAAAGAGGGGTTCGAACACTTCACTTCCAAAAAAAAAATGTTATAAACTGTTTATACTCTACTTTTTAAAACCTTGGCATCATGAACTATGAAAGTCTGGGCTTTATAAATATAAGTATATCAACTTTAGTTAAGGAATAGTTTAATATTTGTAGGTATTAATAGGAAAATGCCATTTCCCATTTGTATTGGCCATAATATGATAAAAAGTACAAAGCTCTTAGAAATTTTTTTTTTTTAATTGTCATAATACATAAATGTATTTTATCATTAGCTTACTAATAGTTTTAAACATTTTGATAGATTGCAATAATTTTATGCAAAGTGTTAAGGTGAAAACTAAACCGTATTCGAGCACTTTCTTTTAACCTATGAAATGTTTTGCAACATTTTATTTTAAATGTATTTGGTTTTCTGTACCTCAATGCCCCGTCACGCTTCGTTTTGTTGATCTGGCAAATAAAAAAGCAAGGCAGATACACAAATTTCACAAATATCAATAGATGTGTGGCAGCGTAACTTCAGCATGTTGCTCCCGGGCGCACATCAGCAACATCAGAAACATCGGCAACATCAGCAAAAGACTCAAAAACTGGCAGCCACAGCGGCCCTAGGGGCCAAATCTCATGGCGAATGGGATGGGAATGGAACCC